TAAACATAAACATATACAAAAATACATGAAGCTTACTTTTTTGAATAATAATCGTTTAAGATACGAACAAAATAGGGAATAAAGCTATTATTAAAGCGGTTGGTTTTACAAATAAATTGAGAATATTTCTGTACATTTCGTAAATTAAATTTAACAATTCTTTGACTTGGTAGCCATAAAGAACACAATTCATGCTTTTCGAAATCAAAACAAAGTTTGTTCTTACGTTCTTCCAACGTTAACAAATTGCACAATTCTAGAGCATGATTATACGTTTCATAATGAAGTCCCAAAATAATTATAAATGCCCGTTTTTGTATTCGTTCAATATTATCTTTTTGTTTACGCGTTAGGTTGGATTGAAAAAGTGGTGCACGATACCCTAATATTGGTTTATGTATCCAGTATAAACAATAACAAGATCACTAATAGGTAAATTAAAACGTTTCAAGGTACGTAACATATATAACTTTCTATTGCAGTTCTTTAACATTTCCTTTACTTGGGTATCCCATTTTAAATCACATTGAATATAAACTCCAAGAACTTTGATTACATTTTCTTCATTTAAAAGTGTCTCATCTATATACAACAGTTTGTGAGTTTGATTTTTCATAAAATAGACCGTCATGGCAATGCATTTAGTTGGGTTAAGTTTTATATTAGAAGGTAGAACCAAAAATATTAACGGCAGTAATCTACTTTCTTGCATCAGTTCGATAAACGATCGCAAAGATTTTCAAGAAATTAACAACTTGAGGCAATCTCGTTTCAATATTTCAAGTCATTACCTTGATAAATCACGCTTGGATTGCTTGATTCGTTATGGTCATGTTAGCATATTTCCTCAAGTAATGCTGATTCTTGAAAGTCCTTGCGATCGCGTTCATGGCTTTTAGTTATCAAATTAATAATGTCAATATTCAATGAATTTCTTTCTGTAATTAATCTTGTTGCCGTTTGCAGACTTTACTAGAATAATCCATTATTGAATTTATTCTGACTTCGACTACTTTTACATCTATCCGCCCAAAATATGAATCTTACATAAATGTTGAACTGTTCGCATTTAAACGCCATCGAAGCTCTATGGAATATATGGCAATGTTGGTAGTAGACTGTTTGATCTAGAATTAGAACAAAACTATATCACTTTTTTATAATAAAGAGTAACATATATCTTGACACTAGAAGTGTTATCTTTCACAAGGGGGTCATCCAATGATCCACAACCAGCAATTTTTACTACCATCAAACAAACGCTCATTCATAAGTAAGGTCGCACTATTTATGAAACATTGGAACGCTTAGCATAAGCTATAAAGTGTATACTTTATATTCAATTTCTGTTTTAAAGCTCAGAATTACCCCTCTCAATACTACATATCGGAACTTGTTCATCAGGAAACCTTCACAATATATTCTTTCTGTTAAGCAGGGCTCCCACTTAGCCGAATTAGGACCCTCGAGTTGTGGCGAGCTGGCGCGATCTTATAGCAAGCCGTTTTATTATTAATTGATATCAATAAATAAATTCTTGTTATCAAGAAATAATTTTAGGTTGTAAAGCAATGGTAATTCTTGATATCAAGAATTCGATTTCGTGATATCAGGTATTCGATTTCGTAATATCAAGAATTTAATTCTTGATATCAAGAAATGTGTTTTAATGATAAAACTGCTTGCCATAAGATCGCGCCAGCTCGCCACAACTCGAAGCTCCAACTCGGCTAAGTGGGAGCCCTGCTTTACACCTACTAACACACAGACATAGGGCAATAGAGCCTCTTCAGTCTCCGTTCTTGAACTCTGGAATTCTCTACGTTAAGAAATGATAAGAAAGATTAACTCACTTGCAATGTTTAAGACTGCTGTCAAAACCTATCTATTTTCAAAGTAATTATTATTTGTTATAGGGAAATATCATTTGATGTAATTTAATTTGTATGTCATAATGCAATTATCTATAACTTGTATGAAATAATGTAGGCCTAATATGTAATTTTTATGTGATAATGTAAATTGTAAGAATATAATAATGTAAAGCGCATAGAGGATTGTCTTCGATGATTATTATGCGCTATATAGTTATACAATGTTTACCACTTAGCAATAGTCTATTCTGTAAATTTCTACTTCATTTATGATTTTCTTATACAGTTTAGATTGTCTGCCGTCTGTTTTGTTTAATTTTTTTTTATTGTGTGTGAACTGCATTATCTCTCTTCTCGTATTCAGCTCTCGATTCTTTGCTGTGAAATGTAATATTCATTACGTATATAGATAGATAAAAGATAGATAAATGGTATTTTATTGCAGCTTTCATGAATGGCAGTTTTACAACTGAATTGCGCATGAATTGCGCATGAATTACACACATTGGAAATATACGCATTGTAACAATGTACAAAACATTTAGTTAAAAATCATTAAAACGTGTCTTGTTACTATTGATTTAAAGGTAATACAAAGTTTTGGTATGGGGTCATGAATCTGATTCAAAGGAGCATATTGGAGGCAAATGCGATCCTACAATATTCATTGATCGTCGTCGCGGTTGAAATCGAGTCTAAAGTTATGAAATTGTAAATAATAAAGTCTTTATGATGTATAGCTCCCTCTCAAGGTCAAGATATTAATTAAGCCATAAAGCAATATTTCTTGACTAAAATCGACCGATTAGCTATTCCCGTTTGGAAATTATATATCACAACTACATATTCTGAGATTTTCATGGTCGCAGCTACCATTGTACGGCCGTATGCGCTATTTGAAATTTACCAAAATTTACCGGGAGCACCGGTAAATTTTTATATTCAATTTTTCTCGAAAGCAGATGTGTTTTAGGGGCTAAATTTTCTAGTGCTTATAATACATCCACAGGGGCATTCAAATATATCAAAATTGTAAAGAATCACTATCCACCCAATTTTCAAAATTCCCCAAAACTTTGTATTACCTTTAAGAAAGATTATATAACAGTTCTTCATGCTTCAATAGAGCAATCGTACAAATAATATTCTGTTCCTGTATAGAGCATATCCTATTATAACGTCTCTATGCGCTTCCAAAGAGCAGTGGTATAAACAATTGAAAAGGAGATAAGGAACGTGAAATGATTGGTAAGAGAGATAGATACAATTCATTCAAGGCTTGAGCGATGGAAATTTAGTGGTATTTGAAATAATTATACAAATTTAAAAGTAAATAACAAACAGATATCATCAAAACATATTGGTACAATAAATAAAATCATTAATCAAGACATTAAAACGATAAATTATATCTATGGTTATAAACACGAACAAAGTAACTTTTATTATACATGCGAATCACGTTTAAAATACGACAATATGGCATGCGAATTGTTTTATAGCTAAAATCCAGAATTTTCTTTGAATTTCTAAGTGTTCGAGTCCACTGTTTTTGTGGGAGAAATTGCTTTAACTGAACAGTGAGCGGTAATGTTTTTTGAAAGACGTCACACTTACATTTTGGCGTCTTTTTTCTAATGTTTGGAGTTCAGATTATTCAAGTGCATTTGTATAGTCATTATATTCCCTACGAAAAATTATCTGCAACACTCTGTTTTGTATTCTCTCCCGAATCTCTTTTTGATTTTGCTCAACGAGGGAGGGGGGAGGGGGAAATGAGCACTATTTGTTTTACTCAACGCTGCTCCCCCCCCCCCTCCCCCCCTCCGCGCGGCCCCTGGTCAAAAAACAAAAAGGTAAAATTGTGGTAGCCATTTACTCTTTTGGCCAGGGGGGGGGGGCGTCTTCTCTTTTTCGTTTTAAAGTTAAAATTTTCGTTACCATCTTTACTCCACACTCATAAAAAAGAAGAGACATATGCTTTCAATTAGTTACCTCAAAACTGACATTTACTTAACATACTGTACATATTCCATCTCGAGGTTTCATCGAATTGCAAGGGGGAAATTCGCAAGAAAAATAACTCTCCCCATTTAGCATTGTCTTTCACTCATATAAAACTGGTAATTAATGCAAAGTAAAAATTAGACGTAATTTTGTAATGTTGGTAGTAGACTGTTTGATCTAGAATTAGAACAAAACTATATCACTTTTTTTTATAATAAAGAGTAACATATATCTTGACACTAGAAGTGTTATCTTTCACAAGGGGGTCATCCAATGATCCACAACCAGCAACTTTTACTACCATCAAACAAACGCTCATTCATAAGTAAGGTCGCACTATTTATGAAACATTGGAACGCTTAGCATAAGCTATAAAGTGTAGTGGTATTTGAAATAATTATACAAATTTAAAAGTAAATAACAAACAAATATCATCAAAACATATTGGTACAATAAAGAAAATCATTAATCAAGACATTAAAACGATAAATTATTTCAATGGTTATAAACACGAGCAAAGTAACTTTTATTATACAGGCGAATTACGTTTAAAATACGACAATATGGCATGCGAATTGTTTTATATCTAAAATCCAGAATTTTCTTTGAATTTCGAAATGTTCTAGTCAATTTTTTGTGTGGAAGAAATTGATTAAACTGAACAGTGAGTGGTAATGTTTTTGAAAGACGTCACACATACATTTTGGCGTCTTTTTTCTAATGTTTGGAGTTCAGATTATTCAAGTGTATTTGTATAGTCATTATATTCCCTTCGAAAAATTATCCGCAACGGTCTGTTTTGTATTCTCTCCCGAATCTCTTTATGATTTTTGCGCAACGAGGGAGGGGGGAGGGGGGAATGAACACTATTTTTTTTACTCAACGCCCCCCCCCCCCCAGCGCCGCCCTTGGTCAAAAAACAAAAAGGTAAAATTGTGGAAGCCATTAATTTTTTTGGCCGGGGGGGGGGGAGGGTTCTCTTTTTCTTTTTAAAGTTAAAATTGTCGTTACCATCTTTTTTTTTTTAATTGTTGGACAGGGGCGGGGGCCCTCTGTGCCAACCCCCCCCCCCCCCCCCGATCCGCCCCTGTACTCCATACTAATAAAAAAAATAAAAAGACATTTTATTTAACATATTGTACATATTCCATCTCGAGGTTTCATCGAATTGCAAGGGGCAAATTCGCGAGAAAAATCGTCTTCCACGTTTAGCTTTGTCTTTCATTCATGTAAAACTGGCAATGAATGCAAAGTAAAAATTAGACGTAATTTGGTTTTGTCATCGTTGGTGCGATACTGCAGTCATCATGAAGGGATTCTGACTAGCTCATACATCCGGTGAGGGCGTTTTTGGTCTAGTTTCACCTTTAATAGCGAGGTAGGGGAGAGATGAAGAGAGAGAGAGAGAGGAAGAGAGGGAGAGAGGGAGGGAGAGAGAGAGAGAGAGAGAGAGAGAGAGAGAGAATTTCCTTTGTCAAGACAGGCTTGAGACAATAAAAAGAATACTTATATTCAAACCCCTTTATCTTACAAAAACCAAGTGAAATCGCTGAAATATATGATAACAGTATTACATTTGATAATATACAGCGTGTCCACACACAATTTTTGTTATCCCGAAACTCTATAAAGAAACGTCGTATAAAGAATCATCGTATAAATTCAAGGGTGTCCATACGCACACAAGAAAGTAATCCAGAAACTCTACAGCGAAATGTCTAGACTAGTTCTGGACCCTATATGATTTTTGTTATTCGCCTACTATAAACGTTAAGCTGAGTGATGGCGCGATCCTTATTGACCTCCATATCCCCACTAACTGCGCGAGAATTTTTTTTTTTTTTTTTAAATTTAAATCATTCATTTATTGCAACCATAAGTTGGATTTCATACAGTAAAAAAGGCAGGCATATAAATGTTTCACAATATAGTTATATGTATATATACTTTGTACAATAAAACTGTATAAATTGACACTTTAAATACATAGATATGAAAAGAAAAAAAAACACTCAAGAGCAAACGCATTTAAACATAATTAAAAGGTACATAGGACTTCAACGGACCAATAATCATATATCAACTGACATCAACGTATTGTCCAACAATTAAAATTGAGAAAGATTTTGAAAGAAAGAGAGAGACAGTTAACCCAAATTGAGTGGTGGTATAATGCATTATCCGTAAAAAATATATATATATATATCCAGTCAAATTCAATTGGTATTAAATTTGTTACATTCTAAATTATTATAAAATACATATAATAAACAAGTGTGCAATTTTAAGTAAAACATCTACACGGCACCTCAATTCAATATAAAATTGGCAATAATGATTATTAATTAAATGTAATACCATGTACAAAGCTTGATTACAAGTACCCCCAAGTTTGGTACTAATAAACCGGTGTCGTATAATAATAACAGATATGTAAAATAAGATTTAAACATAAATATAAGGACCAATAATCATATATCAACTGACATCAACATACTGTTCAGAACAGTTACAATTGAGGAATATCTTGAAGGAAAAAAAAAAAAAGACAGTAAACCCAAATTGAGTGGTGGTATAATGCATTATTTGTAAAAATTAATCCAGACAAATTCAATTGATATCAAATTTGTTACATTCTCAATTATTTTAAAATTCATATAATGAACAAGTGTGTAATTTAAGTAAAATGTCTAAACGGTACTTTAATTCAATATAAAATTGACAATAATGGTTATTAACTAAATTTAATACCCTGTACAAAGTTTGAAGACACTAATAAAACGGTAATAAAATCGTATGATAATCACAAATATGTAAAATAGGATTGATGTCTTCTTATTAAAATTATTACATTTAATTAACGAGAATATACTCAATAAAAAGGACAATAAAAATACATTAAATTTGGCAAGATCATTGTAGATTAAACAGACACCAGGGTATGAAGCTATTTTTGTATCTATTAGTTTTGCATTTGGGAGGGTACAGGTCTTTGCTGTTCCGAAGAGAGTATCTTGTTTCTCTTGGAGCAGGAAGAAGATGGTTTAGCATGTGACTGGGGTTACGAATTTGGGTAAACAAATTAAGGCATAGTTTTTGTCTACGTTCAGAAAGGGATTGGAGGTTAAGAAAGACAAGGGCGTCAGAGTATGACAGTCCAGGTGAAATAATTCTAACTGCCCTTTTTTGGATGGACTCTAACATTTCGGATTGTTCTTTGGTCAGACCTCCATGAAATACTTGGCAAGCATACTCTAACACCGATCTAATGCTTGCCACATAGTATCTGCACATATCAATCTGATTTAAACCTGCCCTTCGTAATTGAACAAGAAGGTACAAGCGTTTTGCTGCTTTAGTGTAGGTTTCTTTCACGTGGGTATCCCAGTTAAGTTTGTTATTGAGGTACAAACCGAGTAGTTTAACTTCCTGAACCCTCTCTACTTGATTTCCACCGATGGTAAGATATGGTAAGTTTGGATCGTCTTTCATGAAGCAAACAACCATTTCCTTGGTCTTCATTGGATTTATCTGCATATCATTCAAGTCAGACCAGTGTGCAAGTTCATTGAGGGTATTCTGAATCGTGCCATTTTCACCATATGGACATATCTCATACAATGTTGTGTCATCAACATATTTGACAACGGGAAGATTACAACCCAAATCCGTTATCATAATTATAAACAACAGTGGTCCCATTTTAGTCCCTTGTGGGACACCCCCATTAACTGTCAGCCACTCAGATCTTATTTGATCGATTTTAACTCTTTGCTTTCTTTGATAGAGGAACGCTCTTATCCAGTTAACAAGTGTAGGATTCACCTGCAAATTTCCCAACTTTCTAAGAAGTAAATCGTGATTTATCCTATCAAAAGCTTTCTTGTAATCTACCAACACAATCCTCACAGCCTTTCTCTTAGCATCTGTTTCAAATGACCAATTGTTAAGGAGATTGATCAAGGCAAGTACAGTTGAGGACCCTGGTATGTTCCCATACTGGTTTGGATCAACATGGGGGAGATAATCATTCCAAACCCATTTACACACATAACTTTCTAATATTTTTGCTAACACTGGTGTTAGGGAGATCGGTCTCAGATCGCTCTCAATTGAAACAGGGGGGTTTGTCTTGGGTAAGGCAATTATATCTGCAGATTTCCAAATAGACGGTACAAAACCTTCGGCAATGGAAGCGTTGAAAATGGAGCAAACCGGCTCCGCTATAATAGGGGAGAAATCTCTGAGAATCCAGGAAGGAATCCCATTTGGACCAGGTGCTTTTCTCACGTTAATATATCTCAAGTGCCTTTCTACGTCATGGGGAGGAATGATGAATGAATAGTGGGGATATGGCAGTCAATAAGGATCGCGCCATCACTCGGCTTAACGTTTATAGTAGGCGAATAACAAAAATCATATAGGGTCCAGAACTAGACTACGAAATGTCGTATAGGTGCGCAGTTTGCTACACCGGTCATGAAATGAGAGGTCAGGTCTCCTTTCGCGCGAGGTCACGTTATGCCTCGCCCAGTCATACCGTTCTAGTTCGGCTAGACTAGTTACGTCCACACACAACACACTCCGTGATTACGCATGATTCTTTATTGGGTTCTTGTTCGAAACGGTGCCCAAACCCACGTTTCGTTATACGATGTATCGTTAGTAAGCGTCCACACACGCAATTGCATCGTATAACTATCCCGAAACGATACCGTTAAGGGGTAGTTGTACGATGAATTTGTTGTGTGTTAGTGGGGATATTCTTGTATAATTTGATAGGCTGCTCATCAGAGTGTGTTTATGGATGACCGAGCACTAACAACCCATGATAAATACATGATTGCAACTACATTCGACAAATCAACTCAAGATACATTTCAACATTATATTATTTATGCAACAGAAATCATGACGATCTGTATATGTAAAACGTCATTGTAATGTTCGAATGTTTCAAACGGTGATAGAGGGAGCTATAGAACTTCCCTTAAGTTAATATTTCGAAAGTAGTTGCAATCATGTTTGATCGTCTTTACCTAAGTGTGAATGAACGATGTTCAGGAGTTGATTAATAAGATGTATGTGTGAGTACTTTCTATTCATATAGAAACCATTCAACCAAAGTTTGTATTCACTTTTTTAATTCTTTTATTCAAAGTTTGGCAGAGACAAAATCGACATGAATCAGGAAAAACAATACTGTTTAGCTGTCCATGCCTATCGATTAAGGTGTTAAATCAAGTCATTAGCTGTTTCACTTACCTCTTTTTTGTGTAATCCTTTATTCCCACGGGCGATGCAGCGAAGAAGGAGAGCAAGCATGAGAAATGTGAAATACACCGTTATGGTCGTCGAAATTGCAAAAACTACGGTTTCTGTCTCGTTCATATCCGCTAAAACACGCAGCAGACCTGTAGGTTCATAGAAAGAAGATCAATAAATGATATGACTCAAGTACGATGTAGCAGTAGCCATCATGATAAATATTATCTTATTCCTATAGAGGTATAGCTTTGAATAAAATACGGCTAACCTCGAAAAGACTTGATACTCTGACTATCAGTTATAAAGCGATTCTATTTCATTTTCAAATTCGCAACATATTGCTCAAAAATACTTTGTGTGTACATAATATGTTTCGGTATATAGCCATCAAATGACAGGATGAGACCATTCAGAAATACTATCTGCACATGTGCAGATTAAAGGGATACCGGTAACTTTGTCTCAGAATATGAAACAAAATCCTGGATTTAGCTCATGCTGCAATGATAATTATAAACCTTTAGGTCAGTCAGGAACCCCGTGACATTTACAAGCCGATCGCCTGTCTGATCATCAAGATATTTGTGGAAATTGGAACCAAATTTTACGTTTTCCTAACGGTTTCCATAACACTACAGTATATCGGGGAAAACGAATATTAAACCGGTCACTCAAAACTTTTTTGAAACACTTCTTGATCATTTTGAAGCGCAATTTTGTTAGGGCTTCAATATTATCTACACCATATCACAGACACTGATACCACGTAGGGCCATGCATCTCAGATTTAACATTGTTAACCGATCCCTTTAAAGGTCATGTATCATCAACGAGGGTGCAGTCACTGATAAGCAAGCGGCAGTATTCTTTTCATGAGGTAAAACAAAATGTATTAAAAAAAGAACCTCCACCACTTGGGCAGAGAATATTATACTACGCACAAAGTTAGACTTCTCCTTACATGTGTAGCGACCGATATTAATGATGTTTATTCATAAGTTAAATGATCATGTTACTAATTAGCATAGATGTTTGCAGGTATACGCGTAAGTAGGACCAATCACGGACCTTCCTCAGTGGGCGATTTTTAATTGATGAAAGGTCGAAAAAGAAGGCAATAGAACTAAGAGTGAATGGATATGTTGTGTATCCTTATACGTAGAGAGTGCGTGTATTAGTTGATACGGATACGGGGGCTTCGCCGTTCTCTTCCCTAACTCTACGGCATGAACTATATAGCAACAGGCTTCCCGTGGCTATTACTCATACTTTGTTTTATTTTCTGTGCCGAGCTTTCTTCAGACTTTCGTCTCGTTATTTCTCCATTTGCCTATATTGGAGATTGAATTTTATCTACAATAATCAACTCCTACATGACTATGGCATACTGCAGTGCAGTCTATGACAAACTGTTCTACGGACAAATTTATTTCTTTGGAGTTGTTTTAATTGCACCATGATACCATCTGTAACTAATCTTCAGCTACGCAGCATTAACTTTTGATCGACATCGTCTTCGATTGCGACCAAGTCTATGTCAATAATCGTCTTCTTTGTCTTCGCGATCAACGACCACCACTGTTGTCTTCATTGCGAATGTCGCTGAATAGACTCGTCATCATCGACTGACTTTTATGAATCTTCGCATTAATTTCAGCCCGTGAGAAGTTTTGTGTGTACAGCTGATATAGTCCCCGAGGTGGTAGAACTAGCTAGTCTAGGTCTACATTTTGGATCCAACTCACGTAACGTTAATTATATCATAAGTGATTTATGCATTTTAATCATTCCATTGTGATCGTTTGATAACTTTGGGTGCCTGTTGTTGATAATCAGTATACGCAAATTGTAGAGCATATTTCACATGTTTATAAAATATAAATATACGGTATTTTCTCACGTTGTAACCATGGTAATAAACACTCAGTACAAGTAGAGATTTGACTCGTGGGATTTGAACCACAATATTTCGTGCCTAAATCCGGGCCTAAATCCAAACGCTATGGGTCTAGCTTCGATTTGAGAATTAATTTTCTTGGCTGCTCCTAATATTTGTGTGTGAATAATATTTATGACTCTGTCTTATTACTTGTATTGAGCATGAAACCTAATATTTCGAGACTAGTAGTAAACATAAACCATAATTACTAATTTTAGTCTCATTTATACTTGCCCTTAGCAGTTATCAATGTTTGATGATCGTCAGTGATTACCCAGGCACTTCTTTAATGTCTAGTGGATGTTTATGTTAAATTCTAATAAAGGAAACTACTTGTTCGATTTATTACATAAACAGTTAGGCATAATTTTCGTGTGGATCCATTTCTGAGTCACAATAGTAACCTCTTTATATAAAAGAGAAGAGTGATTTTAGGTGAAGTGTTTTCTCAGTTGAAGAAGGAAATTGATTGTCCAGATTTTTGTTTTTCCAAATTTAATATTAATTATATATCAGATAATATAATCATGGAATTCACATTTCGTCATCATGATAGTCACCATCCCACACATGTGTATATATATTTGCATATGTAGGTTCTATTGTACAAGTACTGTCTCTGAAGTGGTCTGTTGGAGGGTATAGGCAGGATGTTCAGCCATTTCTTCAGAAGCAGTAATTGATGAACTATTAGGCCAAACAGGCATGTGTCTTCTCTTTAATTTGCGCTTTCACTAATCCATACATTTTATTGTGGGGAACGATAATATACGAGGTTTACCTTGAAGCCATGGGGGCGTTGTTCTGGTCGGTGCGGTCACAGCGACAGTTCCTTCACTTGATGTCTTCAAGGTTGTTGATGCTGTCCCGGTCGTTACCTGACCGCCTCGTGTCGTCTCCAAATAAGCAGTAGTCTCACCTGCAGTAGTCTAATAAGGTATTGTTCCATAAAGAGACGGGGTGACTTTTTTGACTTCTTGAAATACCTCCCTATTATTCCAAACATGTCTAAAAATATCTTCAAAATATTCTCCTGATTTTAATGCAGCATGCATAGTATTTTTTACTCGTACTTGTGTGCAGAGCTTTTCAATGTCAGTGGTTAGAAAAAGATTGTGTCAATCAATTGTCATTTGATGTTTTCAATCGTATCCGGACACCTACTCCCTGGACATCCCCCCCCCCCCCGATAACCACCCCAGTCAACTACCTAATATGACAACTAACCCCTAAGGCACCCCCCCCCCCCTCTACGCCGGCTACCCCCGGGACAGCTATCCCCTAGGACAACTACCCCCAGACAATTACCCCGGACAACTTCCCCCTAGGATAGTTGTCCTTGGGGAAGGCGTCCTAGAGGATTGTTGTCGTAGAGGGCAGTTGCCCGGGGAGGTAGTCGTCCTAGAGGGTGGTTGCCCTAGGGGGTAGTTGTCCTAGGGGGTAGTCGACTGGGGTGGTTATTCGGGGTTGATGTCCAGGGCTTAGTGTCCTAGAACCGTTTTCACTTTTGTTAAACAATGTCTATTTGATCAACCATTCCATATTACTGGAGGACAGTATATTAAACTACGCAATCACGTGACCCGTTTCTAACCTGTAATTCGTTCATCGTGGTGTCCATGTTTGTTGATGCTTCAGTTGATGATGGGGTTAAATAGGAAATACTTAAATATTTATTTAATTAATTATTCATTAATAAACTCTTTTACACATTCAATCATCTATTAAGTTGTTCATATACTATATGCATTTCTTATATTATTTAATCGATTTGGAAAATTATACATGTACAGGATGGCTCATGTAAAACTGGTCTTGCATGTTCAGTTCAGTTCAGTTCATTTATTTCAATCATAAAACCATAACATAATATATATATATATATACAAAAGTAACATGAAAACATCATAATCTTACAATTCTGGAATTAAGAAATTGGAGACTAAAAAGGAAATTTGAAAAACTTGTAAGTATAATAGTCCCCTGACATAAATAATAAATAACGTGATTACATGTTTGTATACGTTACTACAACAATAACAATATATAATTAAGATACTACACATTATAGATACACACCGATGAACACACACATACATACACCACACACACACACACACACACACATGCATGGTACATTGCAAGGTAGAACAACTTAAAAGAAAGAGTTAAGGGAAATAAGAAGAGACAAACTGTCTCTGAAATTGGTTCAAATGAACATATTGGACGCATATGCGGTCCTACAATATTCAGTGATCGTTGTCGCGGTTAAAATCGAGTCTAAGTTGTGAAATTGTAAATAATAAACTCTTTATGTTGTATAGCTCCCTCTCAAGGTCACGATATTTATTAAGCTATAAAACATTGTTTCTTGACTAAAATCTACCGATTAGTTGCTCCCGTTCGGAAATTATATATCACAACTACATATTCTGAAATTTTCATAGTCGCAGCTACCATTGTACGGCCGTAGGCACTATTTGATATTTATCAAAATTTACCGGGAGCACCGGTAAATGTTTATATTCAATTTTTCTCGAAAACAGAAGTAGTTTAGGGGCTAAATTGTCTAGTGCTTATAATACATCCACAGGGGCATCCAAATATATCAAAATTGTAAAGAATCACCATCCACCCAATTTTCACAATTTCCCAAAACTTTGTATTACCTTTAACAACCTCTATACTAATTTCATCGGTGAAAACAATGATTAGACTGCATATTCTAAAAATACTTTATATTTATAATACTAATCTACCCATTTTATTGTAGGGCAAGGAAAATATACGAGGTTTACCTTGAAGCCATGGGGGCGTTGCTCTGGTCGGTGCGGTCATAGCGACAGTTCCTTCACTTGATGTCTTCAAGGTTGTTGATGCTGTCCTGGTCGTTCCCCGATCGCCTTGTATCGTCTCCGAATAAGCAGTAGTCTCACCTGCAGTAGTCTAATAAGGTATTGTTCGATGAAGAGAAGGGTGACTTTTGTGAACGCGGAACATTACTTTTGCACTTTCCCACTTTTGTTGTTGTATTGATTTCCCTTTTCAAATAATGTCATAGTACCAATGTCATATAATGTTCTTGAAATACCTCCCTAATATTCCAAACATGACCTACATATCTTCAAAATGCTCTCCTGATTTTAATGCCGCATGCAGAGTATTATTTACTCGTACTTGCGTGCAGAGCTTGTCATTGTCAGTGATTCGAAAAAAAGATCGAGTCAATAAATTGTCATTTTATGTTTCCTTACCTAATAATACCTACTTGATCAACCATTCTACATTAGTTGTGTGAACAGAATCTTAAACTATGAAATCACGTGACCCGTTTCTAACCTGTAATTCGTTCATCGTGGTGTCCATGGTTGTTGGTGCGTCAGTTGATGCTGGAGTTAAATAGGAAATATTTCGTTATATTATGAATTAATCATTTATTTACTCTTTTACATATTTAATCATTTATTATGTTTTTTGATATACTGTGTTTGTTTCGTATATCCTTTAATCGATTTGGATAAGTATACATGTACAGGATGGCTCATTTAAAAGTGGTCCTTCATGTGACCCTGTTAACAACCTGTTTTTTGTTTTGTGGGGGCGTCGACGTGCCTTAGCGCCCGCTGCGTACAGTCATGATTCATTGGCTAAGTAATGGCCTCGTTTCTGTGAGCCATCAGGATCAAAACCGTGTCGATGTGCTATATTAGTGCCCTTTTATGAGGTATTAATCCCCATTACTGTCAGTTATGACTTAAGGACGTAGGTCCCCTAGTTGATTAGCGTAGTAGCACACACATGCTGTTAAAGGTAATACAAAGTGTTGGTATGGGGTCATGAAATTGGTTCAAATGAACATATTGGACGCATATGCGGTCCTACAATATTCAGTGATCGTTGTCGCGGTTGAAATCGAGTCTAAGTTGTGAAATTGTAAATAATAAACTCTTCATGTTGTATAGCTCCTTCTCAAGGTCAAGATATTTATTAAGCTATAAAACATTGTTTATTGACTAAAATCTACCGATTAGTTGTTCCCGTTCGGAAATTATATATCACAACTACATTTTCAGAAATATTCAGGGTCGCAGCTACAATTGTACGGCCATAGGCACTATTTGAAATTTATCAAAATTTACCGGGAGCACCGGTAAATTTTCCTATTCAATTTTTCTTTAAAGCAGAAGTAGTTTAGGGGCTAAATTTTCTAGTGCTTATAATACATCCACAGGGGCATCCAAATATATCAAAATTGTAAAGAATCACCATCCACCCAATTTTCACACTTTCCCAAAACTTTGTATTATCTTTAACAACCTCTATACTTATTTCATCGGTGAAAACAATGATTAGACTGCATATTCTAAAAAATAATTTATATTATTTTGTAATACTAATCTACCCATTTTATTGTAGGGCAAGGAAAATATACGAGGTTTACCTTGAAGCCATGGGGGCGTTGCTCTGGTCGGTGCGGTCATAGCGACAGTTCCTTCACTTGATGTCTTCAAGGTTGTTGATGCTGTCCTGGTCGTTCCCTGATCGCCTTGTATCGTCTCCGAATAAGCAGTAGTCTCACCTGCAGTAGTCTAATAAGGTATTGTTTGATAAAGAGAAGGGTGACTTTTGTGAACGCGGAACATTACTTTTGCGCTTTCCCACTTTTGTTGTTGTATTGATTTCCCTTTTGAAATAATATCATAGTACCAATGTCATATAATGTTCTTGAAATACCTCCCTAATATTCCAAACATGACCTACATATCTTCAAAATGCTCTCCTGATTTTAATGCCGCATGCAGAGTATTATTTACTCGTACTTGCGTGCAGAGCTTGTCATTGTCAGTGATTCGAAAAAAAGATCGAGTCAATAAAAAATTGTCATTTTATGTTTCCTTACCTAATAATACCTACTTGATCAACCATTCTACATTAGTTGTGTGAACAGAATCTTAAACTATGAAATCACGTGACCCGTTTCTAACCTGTAATTCGTTCATCGTGGTGTCCATGGTTGTTGGTGCGTCAGTTGATGCTGGAGTTAAATAGGAAATATTTCGTTATATTATGAATTAATCATTTATATACTCTTTTACATATTTAATAATTTATTGTTTTTTTTTCATATACTGTGTTCGTTTCTTATATCCTTTAATCGATTTGGAAAAGTATACATGTACAGGATGGCTCATTTAAAAGTGGTCCTTCATGTGACCCTGTTAACAACCTGTTGTTTGTTTTTTGTGGGCGTGCCTTAGCGCCCGCTACGTACAGTCATGATTCATTGGCTATGTAATGGCCTCGTTACTGTGAGCCATCAGGATCAAAACCGTGTCGATGTGCTATATTAGTGCCCTTTTATGAGGTATTAATCCCCATTACTGTCAGTTATGACTTAAGGACGTAGGTCCCCTAGTTGATTAGCGTAGTAGCACACACATGCTTTAGCAGTCACGCAAAACAAACACTCCCCAATTGTCATTCAATAAAATCTGAGATGTATACTATTATCTAGATCTATTAGGAATAAATCATTGTCAAATTCATTCAAAAAATTTGGGTAAAAATAATTGTTCCACCATTATGACCAACAGTGTATCTCCTTTCTTTATTCCCCTTCCATTGCTTCCTCAAGATATAAAAGCAAGTAGGAAGATGAGAGAGGAGAACTACCTCGGAGCATATTGTTAAAGTTTTTTTAGCGATATGTTTTGGGTAATGGGATCACGAAGCGAAATTTGATATACTTTACTTGCAAGTCAAATGACAATGCAATTAGTTAGCTCTTATTTTCGTGTTAAGGGACCCTACCAAAACAGTTTAACTGACAGGGTTAATGTATTAAGCCACATTTACGGGAATTGTCATCAAAATAAGGAACCCAGGATTGGTATTATTGTTGTAGGAGAAAAGCATCACAATAGTGTCGGATCGAAGGTGGCCATGAGTGCACGTGTGAAAAAGATACGTGACCCAAGATGAACAGCAATTGTAGCCTGTTAAACTTTTCAGAGAACTAATTTTTTTGTTTACTTTCCGGAAAATTTTCGGACATGTTCCAATCGGCAGGTGTTAAGAAACGACTATATGGACCACTTTGAGTGGAGTAGGAATGATATCATAATACTGTGATATTTTGACCCGGATCGCTGATCTAAATTAATATATATATATATATATATATCCATGCATTCATTACTATGCAAAGCAGTGTTCGCTTTGGTGCTTTGGTTCATACAAATACAGTACTCAAAACCAAACTACTTAAATATCACAGTATTATGATATCATTCCTACTCCACTCAAAGTGGTCCATATAGTGGGTCAATGTCGCTATTCATAAGGTCCGCTATTCATAAGGTCCGTTATTCATAAGGACCGCTATTCATAAGGACCGCTTTTCATAATCAGAGAAGAGGGTCGGTATTCATAATACGAGAAGAGGGTCGCTATTCATAATGCAAAATTGGGGTCGTTATTCATAAGGGTCGCTATTCATAATAGGAGAAGAGGGTCGCTATTCATAATGCAAAATTGGGGTCGTTATTCATAAGGTTCGCTATTCATAATAGGAGAAGAGGGTCGCTATTCATAATACGAAATGAGGTTCGCTTTTCATAATAGGAGAAGAGAGTCGCTATTCATAATAGGAGAAGAGGGTCGCTATTCATAATAGGAGAAGAGGTTCGCTTTTCATAATAGGAGAAGAGAGTCGCTATTCATAATAGGAGAAGAGGGTCGCTATTCATAATAGGAGAAGAGGGTCGCTATTCATAATACGAAATGAGGTTCGCTATTCATAATAGAAGAAGAGGGTTGCTATTCATAGTACGAAATGAGGTTCGCTATTCATAATAGGAGAAGAGTGTCGCTATTCAAAATAGGAGAAGAAGGTCGCTATTCATAATACGAAATGAGGTTCGCTATTCATAATAGAAGAAGAGGGTCGCTATTCATAATACGAAATGAGGTTCGCTATTCATAATAGGAGAAGAGGGTCGCTATTCATAATAGGAGGAGAGGGTCGCTATTCATAATACGAAACGAGGTTCGCTATTCATAATAGGAGAAGAGGGTCGCTATTCATAATAGGAGAAGAGCTATTCATAATAGGAGTAGAGGGTTGCTATTCATAATACGAAATGAGGGTCGCTATTCATAAAAGGGTCACTATTTATAATATGAAATGAGGTTCGCTATTCATAATAGGAGAAGAGTGTCGCTATTCATAATAGGAGAAGAAGGTCGCTATTCATAATACGAAATGAGGTTCGCTATTCATAATAGAAGAAGAGGGTCGCTATTCATAATACGAAATGAGGTTCGCTATTCATAATAGGAGAAGAGGGTCGCTATTCATAATAGGAGGAGAGGGTCGCTATTCATAATAGGAGAAGAGTGTCGCTATTCATAATAGGAGAAGAAGGTCGCTATTCATAATACGAAATGAGGTTCGCTATTCATAATAGAAGAAGAGGGTCGCTATTCATAATACGAAATGAGGTTCGCTATTCATAATAGGAGAAGAGGGTCGCTATTCATAATAGGAGGAGAGGGTCGCTATTCATAATACGAAACGAGGTTCGCTATTCATAATAGGAGAAGAGGGTCGCTATTCATAATAGGAGAAGAGCTATTCATAATAGGAGTAGAGGGTTGCTATTCATAATACGAAATGAGGGTCGCTATTCATAAAAGGGTCACTATTTATAATATGAAATGAGGTTCGCTATTCATAATAGGAGAAGAGGGTCGCTATTCATAATAGGAGAAGAGGGTCGCTATTCATAATACGAAACGAGGTTCGCTATTCGTTATAGGAGAAGAGGGTCGCTATTCATAATAGGAGAAGAGGGTCGCTATTCATAATACGAAACGAGGTTCGCTATTCATAATAGGAGAAGAGGGTTGCTATTCATAATAGGAGTAGAGGGTCGCTATTCATAATACGGGATGAGGGTTTTTATTCATAAAATAAAATAGGCCTAAGCAATATCCAAAATGCTCATAACAAATGGAAATATTGGACGGAGGACACCCCCAAGGCGACACATGGCCCTTGAATATTTCTCTTGTTTTTAAGTAGGTTTGAAATTTGTTATCCAATGTTATAAACATAATTGAGAATTTAAATCAATAACATTTGAATCATGAAACATCCTCAAGCTCAACTCCCCTCCCCCCTCCCCCCCCCCCCCCAAACCCGCCGCCTTCGCCTTTATGATGACGACTCGGACATTCAGGTAGCGAACCTTAATATTTATTTTCGGGGGGGGGGCTGAGGTGGTTTTCCTATAATATATATGGTCTTGTCACCAAAGTAAATTTTCTTAAGTTTGACTATCAGTTGAGGGGAGGGGGGGGGGGGTTCGCACAAGGGACAAATTATGATAGGATTATGTGTGTGTTATGTTTCCCTTTTTTGTCACCACTGGAGCGGGGGAAATATATTAGCTAGATTAGGGGGATGAATTTTTATATAATTATCAAAGCTTAAAAGAAAATATAGGCCTACTTTAAAAAAAGACATAATAAAGGGGACGCCACCGTTTGCATAATGCTTTACGGTCGCAAAATCGTATCTTAATTGACTTTAAATCTTGAAAATGTTACTTCCTTACTTATGAGGAGAAAAACAAAATCGTGCAATATTATATATTTACGAAAAGCTTGAATATTGTATATAATCTAACTCTCTACAACCAGGGGCGTCGATAAGGGGGTGTGGAGTGCGACAACCCCACCTGTCAAGATATTGTCGGTAAAATTGCGCTGCTGACGGGAAAAATGAGAAAAGGGGGAGGGAAAAAAGGAGAGGGAAAGGGAAAGAAAAGAAAAGAAAAGGAAAAGAAAGTAAAGAAAGGAAAGAGAAGAGAAGAAAAAAGACAAAAAAGACAAAGACGAAGGAGAGGAAAGAAAGGAAAAGAAGAAAAAAGAAAGAAAAGGAGCAAAAGGAAAAGGGGATTAAAGAGAAAGAGAGAGAGAGGGGTATGTTTGGTGGAGTCGCCACGTCGAGGGAGCAAGATAGATACGCATAGATAATTTTGTTGCTGTGTCGGGTCCGCTGTGTCGGTATTCTTGCTCGATCTTTGTATACTATATTTATGTAGAAGTTTGAGGTAGGTGAGATGTATTATGTCGGTAATTTTTTTTCCCTACGAAGTGTGACTTTTTATCTGATAAAGAAACATTTTTGAGAATTCAGACAATGATTAAGAGTAGCCCGAATCGTCCGAATCGTCTTCTTTGTCTAATATTTAAATGAAACGTTAAAGCTTCCGCGCTTTAACGGGTTATTTTCGTTTCTTTTTTTCTTCATTTTCTGAATGCATTTCATGAACTAATGTAGATGAAATGAATGTTGATGATGTGGGAGGAAAAAGGAGTTACCTAAAAGTCATTTCGAATATACTGAAATAACTTTCCATCTATCACTGTACGTCCCATATAATGTACACTAAACACTCATTACATGTCGTGGGAAGTTTTTTTTTTTTTAAAGTAGAGCAGCAAGCCACATTCCCCAATACGCGCATACCTCCTAGTTAATTTCAAACAGCCCATCAATATGTAAGACCTGAATTGACCTTAATGCAAGCAAGCACATGCATCTAAAACCATCTGCAAGTAAAGCATTATACAATGTACTAGGTCATCATGGAAGTTCCAGAAAACAACAGGGGAGGGATCAAAATAAGCTTTGAAGGTCACTTATACGGGGAAAAATGAATTCAGACAAGGATTAAGAGTAGTGAACGGTACAACGAATCGTCTTCTTTCTCTAATATTTTAATGGAACGTCAAAGCTTCCGCGCTTCGCACGGGAAGGGGGGAGGGGTAAAAATAATTTAGCTCCTGGCCCCGGATTTATAGGGTTAAATGTGTAGACATTGGGACATTGGCATTAACATATATATATATATATGTTAATATATAAATGGTAGCTATTTTTGTCGGTATTCGGTGGCCTCTTCAACCCCCCCCCCCCCCACCTCAAACTGAAAAAGGTCTAGCGACGCCCCTGCCTACAACCCCTTTTTGTCGATTCCATCCTATGCTGAAGCTAAGGGACATGATAGATCAACCCCTTGATGGCAACACTGCTACACCCCAACCGCACCCCCCCCCCGTGAAACACAAACAGTCTACGCCATCTATGAACTAATTGGACGAGAATTGTCAGTACTTGTACCACGGAAATACTGCAGGGAGGGTAGACCTAATGGTCGGACTGATGGGGGGGGGCACGCCTTTTTCTTTTCTTTTGTTCAGAAATGTTTTCAATATGTTTTCAATAAATGTTTTCTAAAAATATTCGGGGCCATATGGCCCCCTCCCGCCTACGCTACAGCCGTGGGGTATCCCCTATCCATTATTTCGCCTACTGATGTTTATTGCTTATTTAATTTACATTTTTTTATGAATAGCAACCCTTATACCGTATTATGAATAGCGACCCTCATTTCGTATTATGAATAGCGAACCTCTAGTCGTATTATGTATAGCGACTCTCATTCCTTATTATGAACATCGAACCTCTAGTCCTATGATGAATAGCGACCCTCATTTCGTATTATGAATAGCGACCATAACTCTATATGATGAACAGCGACCATCATTTCCTATTATGAATAGCGACCCTCATTCCATATTATGAATAGCGACCCTCTTCTCCTATTATGGATAGCGACCCTCTTCTCCTATTATGAATAGCGACCCTCTTCTCCTATTATGAATAGCGAACCTCATTTCGTATTATGAATAGCGACCCTCTTCTCCTATTATGAATAGCGAACCTCATTCCATATGATGAATAGTGACCCTATTATGAATAGCGACCCTCATTTCATATTATAAATAGCGACCCTCATTTCGTTTTATGAATAGCGACCCTCTACTCCTATTATGAATAGCGACCCTCTACTCCTATTATGAATAGCGACCCTCTGCTCGTATTATGAATAGCGACCCTCATTTTCCATTATGAATAGCGAACCTCATTTCGTATTATGAATAGCGACCCTCTCCTCCTATTATGAATAGCGACCCTCTTCTCCTATTATGAATAGCGACCCTCATTTCGTATTATGAATAGCGACCCTCTTCTCCTATTATGAATAGCAACCCTCTTCTCCTATTATGAATAGCGACCCTCATTTTGTATTATGAATAGCGACCCTTATAAGTAATGAACCTTATTTCGTATTATGAATAGCGACCCTCTCGTCGTATTATAAATAGCGACCCTCTCGTCGTATTATGAATAGCGACCCTAATTTCATATTATGAATAGCGGTCCTTATGATTAATGACCCTTAATATGAATTATGAATAGCGACCCTCATCTCACGTTATGAATAGCGGTCCTTATGATTAACGAACCTTTTTTCTTTATGAATAGTGACATTCTTTTGCCATTATGAATAGCGGACCAGGAAGTACGGGAATTTACACGTTATGAATAACGGTCCTTATGAATAACGAATAGACCCCAGCGATCCCATTACATTCTTAAGGCTTAATTCGTTCCACGATGCCTTCGCATCGGATCGGGTAGTCTGGTTACACGAACATTTAAGAAAACATTCTTCCCATATATCCATGAAAGGTCGAGTAATTCAAATGATAATGCTAATCTTTTACACATTTCTGAAAACTATCCAATGCAATGTCGATGTGTCGGTAGCTAGCTATTTTACGAACTCTTAAGTGGATTATTCACCTCGTATTCAAAAGTATGGGATCAAGATGCGAGTTTTTGTAGATTTGCTGTAAGTCTTTAGGAAAGTGTCCGCGTAAACTTGACATAACAATTTTTTTCGAAAGCAGAAGTGTTTTAGGGGCTAAATTTTCAAGTGCTTTTAATACATCCACAGGGACCTCACTCATTAGCATTTTATTTGTATGTCAGCAACTTTTGAATACATTTCGTAAACAATCAAAGAGAAATTGCAGGTAGTATGTCTTTCCCTGGCTAAAATATTGGGCTTAAATCTACTGACATGACTGTAGAGCTGATGAAAAGTTGCCTTTAAATAATGATTTTCTTTTTCTTCATATTTGTCTCGAAATGTCACTGTTCTGAAATTGTTTCTTCTTCTCATTTATAAATATTCCTAATTGTTTGATGAAAGAGGTTTATAATGTGTTTCATTCTAAAGCATGTCATAACCTGAGCAGTTGAAATATTTATCTGTTAACTGTGAACTCAACACCCCCCCCCCCCCCCAAAAAAAAAAAAAATGAATAAATAAAATTAAAAAATCAGGGTGCGTTCCGCGGGCAATAGCCCGGGGTGTCATCCTACTAGCTCATCTACACACTCACCAAGGAGTTCTCCAAAGAACTCCATACGAAGGGAAATATGTTCATGCCATGTGTAAGGTAAAAGGCGAACATATCGACACGACATTGGCACGGGAAAGCGATTGTAAACCACGGTGTTTCGATCAGTATTGCCGGGAAAGATCTGAGGAAAAACACGCAAAAAGAACAACGTGTAAATTCAAAAAGAGAGAGATAAATGCTAAGATTAACATCGTGAAAAAAAAGGAATTGAGAAACGCTCAATAAACGAATCACACTTGACTGGTAATCGACCAATTAACTGATTAGGGTCGAAAGATGAGTAAATCGGTACCTACATTGTCGTTGTCGGTGTTAGTGGGGTCTTTCACTGTCTCAAAGCTAACACTATTCATACTGCAGGCAATCTTGAAGCTTGTTACCCACTGGGACAAATCCTCACGACCTTGTGTTGCCACTCCTACGATGCTGTACGTAGCTAAAAGATCAATCTGAGATTCGAATGATAATGATTATTGAAGATAATAAAATGGAAATTACAAAAACGATATTTGTATATAATTATATAAAAACAGTATAATACATATATATATCAAGTATGTATATAACATTGACAGTGGCGGATCCAGGGGGCCCGGGGGCCCGCCCCCCCCCCCCCCCCCTGGGGAAAAAAAAGGAAACAAAAGAGAGAGAGAAGGAAAAGAAGGGAAAGAGGAGAGAAAGGGAGAAGAAAGAAGAGGAAGAAGAAAAGAAAAGGGGGAAGAAGTGATCGGGGGGCGAAAGAGCCTCGCCTCCTAGGCTGTCGCTTCCCCCCCCCCCCCTCCTCCCCCAATCAAAGAAATAAGAAAAAAGGAAGAAAATAGAAACAGGGGGTATCAGTTGCAATTTTTCCGCCAACAAGTAGTGGATCGGGGTAGGGGTGGGGCAAAATGCCATTGCCTCCCCCCGCCCCGCTAAAAAAAAAGAGAGAAAGAAGGAAAAGGAAAAAAAAGAGAGCTAAAAGGGACCGAAAAAATGAAAAGAAGGGGAAATAGATCATTTGCAGTTAATCCCGCCAACAACGTGTGGAGAAGGGTGGGGCCGAAATGACCTTGCCTCCCTCTCCCCTTTCAAACCTAAAAGAGAGAGAAGGAAGGGAAGGGAAAGGGAAAGAGAAGAGAGAAAGGGAAAAAAAGAGAAAGAAGAAAGGTAGGGGAGATCAGTTGCGATTTTTCCACAACAAAGTGTAGATCGGGGGGGCGGGGCACTGGCGTATTGATCGGAAAGGGGGCTCGGGGGAAATAACATTTAAACGCGGTTTATTTCTAATTCCATAACGGTTGTTTACACATATTGCTGAAATTATATAATTTTCCGAGATTTTTCCTCATTCTTTAGTAAATTATACTTTTGTATGCGTTTGTAAGAAATCTTGAGATGCCTACATGTCAGGGCCCGCGAAAGGGCGGGGATCGGGAGCCTCCAGTTCCTCCCCCCCCCCCCCCCAATTTTTTTTTTGGAAAAGCATATCAAGGAGAAATAGAAAGAAAGAGAGCAAGAAAGAAAAAATAGTTAACGACCAGTGTCACAACAAAATAAGGTATCAAAAATTGCTCATCTGACCGTAATTAAACGCCTAAAACCCCTGAGCTTCCGGGGTTCTGCCCCCGGGACCCAACCAAGGGCCCTTGGGCAGGCCACTTAATACTCATCTGACCACAATTTAGTGCCTAAAACCCTTGATCTTCTGGGGGCTCCGCCCGCTGGACCTCACGCCAATCAGTGTCCTGCCAATGTCACAAAAATATGTTCATCTGACCGTAGTCAAATACCTGAAACCCCTGAGATTCAGGGGTTTCCGCACCCTCGACCCCACCAGTGGCCCTGAGGCGGGCCCCTGAATGCTTATCTGACCGTAATTTGCCTTCAACCCATGAGTTTCCGGAGGCGGAAAAGGTATCACAAGATGTTCATCTGACCGCGGGCGCGTAGCTAGGGGGTAATGGGGGCGCCCCCCCCCCCCCATAAAAAAAAAACGCCGGCAAAAAAAAAGAGAGGAGAGAAAAGGAAGAGGACGTATGAAGAAAAAGGAGCAGACAAAAAACATTTTTGAAATTCAGACAAGGATTAAGATTCGAAAACGCTACAACGAATCGTCTTCTTTCTCTAATGATTTAATGAAACGTAAAAGCTTCCGCGTTTTGCGCGGGAGGGGGAAAACTGTGTTCAGACGAGGAGTATTTTCGAGAACGGTACAACGAATCGTCTTGTTTCTCTAATAATTAAAATAAATGTCAAAGCTTCCGCGCTTTACGCGCGCGGATGGGGGGGGAAAACTAAATTCAGACGAGGATGAAGGTCGAAAACGGTACAACGAATCGTCTTCTTCCTCTAATGATTTAATGAAACGTAAAAGCTTCCGCGTTTTGCGCAGTGGTGGGGTAACTGAATTTAGACAAGGATTAAGAGTCGGGAACGGTACAACGAATCGTCTTCTTTCTCTAATGATTTAATGAAACGTAAAAGCTTTCGCGCTTTGCGCGCGTGGATGGGGGGGAACTAAATTCAGACGAGGATTAAGGTCGAGAACGGTACAACGAATCGTCTTGTTTCTCTAATAATTAAATCAAATGTCAAAGCTTCCGCGCTTCGCGCAAGAGGTGGGGTAACTAAATTTAGACAAGGTTTAAGAGTCGAGAACAGTACAACGAATTGTCTTCTTTCTTTAATGATTTAATGAAACGTACAAGCTTCCGCGCTTCGCGCAGTGGTGGGGTAACTGAATTTAGACAAGGATTAAGAGTCGAGAACGGTACAACTAATCGTCTTCTTTCTCTAATGATATAATGAAACGTAAAAGCTTCCGCGCTTTGCGCGTGCGGATGGAGGGGACTGAATTCAGACGAGGATTAAGCGTCGAGAACGGTACAACGAGTCGTCTTCTTTCTCTAATAATTAAATGAAACGTAAAAGCTTCCGCGCTTCGCGCGGGAGGGGGGAGGAGCAAACTGATTTCAAACGAGGATTAAGAGTCGAGAACGGTATAACGAATTGTCTTATTTATCTAAGGATTTAATGAAATGTAAAGGCTTTCGCGCTTCGCGCGCGCGGATGGGGGTGGAACTGTGTTCAGACGAGGAGTATTTTCGAGAACGGTACAACGAATCGTCTTGTTTCTCTAATAATTAAAATAAATGTCAAAGCTTCCGCGCTTTACGCGCGCGGATGGGGGGGGGGGAAACTAAATTCAGACGAGGATGAAGGTCGAAAACGGTACAACGAATCGTCTTCTTCCTCTAATGATTTAATGAAACGTAAAAGCTTCCGCGTTTTGCGCAGTGGTGGGGTAACTGAATTTAGACAAGGATTAAGAGTCGGGAACGGTACAACGAATCGTCTTCTTTCTCTAATGATTTAATGAAACGTAAAAGCTTTCGCGCTTTGCGCGCGTGGATGGGGGGGAACTAAATTCAGACGAGGATTAAGGTCGAGAACGGTACAACGAATCGTCTTGTTTCTCTAATAATTAAATCAAATGTCAAAGCTTCCGCGCTTCGCGCAAGAGGTGGGGTAACTAAATTTAGACAAGGTTTAAGAGTCGAGAACAGTACAACGAATTGTCTTCTTTCTTTAATGATTTAATGAAACGTACAAGCTTCCGCGCTTCGCGCAGTGGTGGGGTAACTGAATTTAGACAAGGATTAAGAGTCGAGAACGGTACAACTAATCGTCTTCTTTCTCTAATGATATAATGAAACGTAAAAGCTTCCGCGCTTTGCGCGTGCGGATGGAGGGGACTGAATTCAGACGAGGATTAAGCGTCGAGAACGGTACAACGAGTCGTCTTCTTTCTCTAATAATTAAATGAAACGTAAAAGCTTCCGCGCTTCGCGCGGGAGGGGGGAGGAGCAAACTGATTTCAAACGAGGATTAAGAGTCGAGAACGGTATAACGAATTGTCTTATTTATCTAAGGATTTAATGAAATGTAAAGGCTTTCGCGCTTCGCGCGCGCGGATGGGGGTGGAACTGAATTCAAGCAAGGATTAAGAGTCGAGAACGGTATAACGAATCGTCTTCTTTCTCTAATGATTTAATGAAACGTAAAGGCTTCCGCGCTTCGCGCAGGAGGTGGGGTAACTAAATTTAGACAAGGATTAAGGGTCGAGGACGGTACAGATATCGTCTTATTTCTCTAATGATTAAATGAAACGTAGAAGCTCCCGCGCTTCGCGTGTGATTGGGATAAACTGTATTCAGACGAGGATTATTTTCGAGAACGGTACAACGAATCGTCTTGTTTCTCTAATAATTTAATGAAAGGTAAAGGCTTCCGAGCTTTGCGCGGGAGGGGGGGGGGAATGAATTTAGACGAGGATTAAGAGTCAAAAACGGTTCAACGAATCGTCTTCTTTCTCTAATGATTTAATGAAACGTAAAAGCTTCCGCGCTTCGCGTGTGAGGGGAAAAACTGTTTTCAGACGAGCAGGCGCGTATGCAGGTGGGGGGGGGGGGGTGAGGGGGTTGAACCCCCCTCTCCGTTTTTTTGTATGTGTGTATTTTGGAGCAAACCCCCTTCCCCTTTTGTGATCTTTTTTTATGCCAATGGCTGACCTAAAAAAAACGTGACCTCACCCCCCCCCCCCCTAACGGAACAAAATGTCAAATTTTCAAATTTCGAGACTAAAAAACTAAAAAAAAGTGTCCTTTTACCCCCCCCCCCCCCCCGCTTATTCAGCGGCTTGCTGAGTCGTTGCGATTTTTTTTTTGACCAAAAAAAAAAGTGGGCCCCCCCCCCTAAGAAATCCTGGATCCGCGCCTGCATTGATGCTGCTTGTAAGTATTGGTTTGGATGTTGATGTAGATATACAGTAGGCTTGCGGGTGCACCATGTGAGAGAGAGGGAGGATTGAGGAGTTCTGAAAAGGACTCTCGGTAATCTTTCTTGACTGTTGGGGTAGTCTTGACGACGGATAGTCTACCTGTTCGAAACATCGAGCCACTCCCGCCAATCATCCTGTCCAAGCGCTATAGTTCTCCTTAGAACTATAAGCTAAGAAAGATACCCAACTGTCTTTTTCAAGACTACCCCAACAGTCCTTTTCAGGACTACACATCCTCAGGAAAGAGTACCGAGAGTCCTTTTCGGAACTCCTTAATCCCCCCTCTCTCTCACATGGTATACAAGCAAGCCTACTGTATGTAACATTGATGTTGCTGATGATAACATGATATTCTCCTATGGGATTTTGTCCTAGGCCTTCGAAAAATGCATCTGTCTTCCGAAGTTGGTGATCTTATCTGGAATGAAACAAAGCTATTGAGAGAAAAGGTTTCTTTTCAAAATAAAAAGATTTTGATGTTTAAATCCAGAAGGGGTAATCAATCCATGTCCGAATTCAGTGTCGGGTCTATGACAGGTTGCTAATGCCTCAAAGATTGATTAATAAACGTTTATCTTGTTTGTGATCGACGTCTGTGCTGACCTATCGAATCAGAAAATCCTCGCTAGATCTACAGGATCCATCATGTATCGCAAATATATATAATCAAATTGAAGCAGTCCTATCCAAATCGAAAAGATACCAAAAGAGTCCATAAGAAGTCGAAAAAGATTTTATGATTTACTTGAGACCTAAAAAGAGCCGAACTTTTTCAGAGCAGCCTGCAGAATAAAATGAGGCTCCCTCAGAATAGAGACTGACCTGAATCCACTGGCGCAAATCGTTTGTTACTGCAGACCATCCTCCGCTCAGGGTTCCGACTCTAGCTATGTTTAACCGGCTTCTAGAAGGACCTTCATCAGCATCCCACCCACTAGAAGCTGTCAAGCTCGAATCTGGGATAGCCCCGCTTTCTAGGCCTAGAGGGCTAGCATCCTGGATGGGACCTATGTTTACAGAAAGGAACTTTGAACTTTATATAATTCAATATCATCTACTCAGTATATAGTCTATTAATTCCTTCTATTCAATCTCAGAAAGCATATTGCAAATTATAACTTTAAAGGTTGGGTGACGTCCAAATATAAGTTGATTCCTGTTGATGTACAGGGCTGCACACAACTCATATTTTGGTATTAAAACATATAAATATTATTTTATAGATTGTTTAATTTTTTTTAAATTATTTTATTAGACCTGCTAAGCTCCACCCCCCCCCTCCCCTAAAAAAAAATGCTCCAGATCTCATTCATCTGGTGACATCATTTGTCAATCATTAGTGAGCTAACAAGAGACAGTGGTTTATAGCTTCACCAGAGCTGACCACCTGTTTACAATAGACCATAAAATACCAACATAGGAGTTGATATGTCAGACTTGCTGATGCATCACCAGGAAATAGATGACAGCCCAAAACAAGAATCTTATGAAATAGACGAAAAAATGTATAAGCATAAGGCCTAAATAAATGTTGTCTTGCCCTTTGCGACCAACCGAACAATCTTTTTTACCGTTTTTTAGAAGAAAAACAATGTATTAAATCAGTCAATACTGTGAAATATCGGCCCGAAGAAGGAGACAAAAAGTAGGGGGACAAAATTTAAACAAAAAAAAATTCAAACCGACCGACCCATGTTTCGGCACCTAAAGAGCAATGCAACATCCGTTATTTAGGCCTAATGGACAACAAAATGAAAACTTCGGAATTCTTTAAGGAGCATTTATTGATACCAGGTTTGATAACTAAAATGGTCTCTGGAAGATTTAGTATGGTTACGTATGGAACTACTACACAATATGCCAAGCATCCTGTTGGAACCATTTCTTCTAAACCCTCACTCGCATAATTATATCAGGGTCTTAACTTACCTGTTACAGTCCCTTCTCGATATAGTCCGGCAGCCAAATCCAGATTATTGGCCTAACCTTGTTTTAGGGTCTATAGTTTTTTTTTCAATGGATTTTGATTGCCTAGACCTTCTATTTCAAGAATCCGATTGCTGACACTCTGTCAGCCTTGAGCAATTTAAGATATATGACGTCATACAAAATGGCCGCCAAAGTACATGATTTTCCTTTAAAAATGAATAATAAATATATAATAAGGATTTTTTCTACAATTTTTGGCAGCCAAATGTCTGTATCTCTCTTGAACCATCACTAAAAAAATGTTTCGTGATGTTGCATGGCCAAAGATGACCAGCTTATTTGCATATTTTGAAATAGCGCCCTCTATAAACATATTAATTTGAATAAAATATGTGTGCCAGCCAAATGCCAATTTCTTAAATCTATGTCACGTTGAAAACATATTAAATGTTTTTTGGGGCAACAATTGCAGTTGTGCTGCATTAATCTTTCATCGTGTTTGGTACAAATTTAGATAGGGTAGGTGTGGGGAATGGAAGACCCTTAAGCACATTTGCATAATTTACATAAACATGAACAATGTTACACATACAGACATTGTATTCACTTTAGTATTTTTTCTCTGTATTTGGTAACGAAATTGTGGTCATGATGTAACTGATTAATAAGATAACAATGATTAATGACGTCATCGCCAAAGGCCTCTCATTACCTACATGTGTAGGTAATAAGGGACAGTTACAAATCAAGGCATTTTAAATACAATTTGAATGAAAATGGGATTGTTATAGTTCAAACACTTTTTGAAAGAGATACATGCAGACAATGAACTTACTGTAATGTTGAAACGGTTTTAAAACAATGTGGCACAAAATATTTCTGTAGTTTTTTGTTTATAGTAATAAAGGTGCTCTCAATTATGTTAAAATACTTTCAGAATAATGTTCTGGCAATATGACTTTTACATCGATCAAACTCCCAGCATAGAAACAACTTCTTAAAATTAAATGCATTCAAATTAGAATGGTGTCACGTACAACCAAATATGTTTCATGATAGTGCCTTTCAACATGAAATGGACAACTGGGGAGAAGTAGGCCCCCATCTTGGACCTGGTGTCCCCCATTACCTACACACATTTCTGATCAGACACCATTCATGGTTGGCACATTTCATAAACTTCGTTTTAAAACTGATTTTTAGGAGCCACCCCTAAATATCTGCATACACCACAGCATTCAGTGAAAATTGTGTTTTTATATCAGAACAACATTTTACGATCAAAATTGCTTATCTTGGTCAATTTTGCCAATTTTCTCGTTGAGAGAACGCATAGTAGTCTTCGAAATGAATTGGATATATGCAGTAGTGTTGTTGAAGACCACATATGTCGCTATACCAATATTGGAGCCAACACGGACAGACAGTGATGGGTTCAAGCTTGGTGGTCTCCAATTCCCTAAACCTACCCTACATATGTCAAGAAAAAAAAATGACTATGAAAGAATTCATTTTTCATCAAATCGGTGAGAAGTGGTTTTACGGCACACATCATTATTCAATTGATAGGCTTTATTTAGACCAGCATTGCTCCAACGTCAGTAAATGTGGATAAAGCAGTTGACATCTATACTAGACAGATGCATGATTTTCAAAAGAAATTACCTGGTGGATTCTATGACACAATTTCCAAGAAAGTTCAAACCGTGGCAGCCATGAAGAAGTCAATGTTGGGGGTACGAAAGTCTATGAAAAGTTAATCTACTCCAGAGTGATATGACTGCAGACAAGTTCAAGAGAGGTCAATGTCAAGGACATTTTGTCATAAGAGCTTTCACCAGTCCCAACAGCACTTTTTGATGATTCTGGAAACGAGCACTCCCATGTCAAAGACGGACTTATAGAATTTGACAAAAGTTGAGATGTCAGCCAGGCATGAGACACTGGAACAACCATGTACAGTTATTGATGGTTGTGCTCTGCTGTGGATGAAAATCTGATGATGTTTGCTTGGTGTTTGACAGATCCGACAGTATCTAGAGGTCATAACGGGTCGAGAGTCTTCCAACTGAGTCCCGCGTCACTGCTGCCCTCCAAGAAATATCTTACTGTTCGTCGTCGTTGTCATATAGATCATGGCTCACCCTTGTGACCCGTTTGATGAGACCTTTTGATCGGCATCTGTCTCCTGCAATCTGGTAGAGTGTCTTTAGTATTTAGAGGGTGGCTAGTGATTTCCCTAAGGTCGTCAGTCCATCTGAGCTTGAGTCTTCCTTTGTTACGTGTTCCTTCAAAGGTACCTTGAATGATAATTTGTCAAGGTTGTCTCATGATCTTCTGCTAACTTGACCAAACTATTTGTAGCTTGTACTTGTCAATCCTGGTCGCAAGTGGCGATTGATCTCCGATGATGGACATTAATTGTGTCCATTGGTGTTGTAATCTCTTCATGATATCCCAAGTAGCTTCGATCTAACACCACATTTCAAAGGCAGATATTTGCCGAGCTTCCACCCTCCTTGACAATCATTGACCCAGGAACATTATATAAACTTGTCCACTTGATCAACTTCTTCTTCATAAACCACCATGCTCTGTTGCATGTAGTTAATTTCCACCAATCATGATCTTGGTCTTTTTCACATTGAGGTAGGGTCCAAATTATTCACTTGCACCCTTCACTCTTTTTTAAGGAGTTCTAGTAGTTCTTCTGATGTTCTTGTTATAAGTGTTGTCAGTGGCATACTGAGCAAAAACACTTAGAGGGGCTGAAAAACAATCTGCATCACCACCACTCATACATGTTACATGCAGGCCCCGCGGATCTTTTTTTAAAGCGGGGGTGGGGGGGTGAAGTATTTATGATCAGGAAGAGAGGAGCGCAAATTGGCATGGTGTTCAAGGGGCACAGCCCCCGGAAGCTTAAGAGTTTCAGGTATTTATTAACTGTAAGATGAACATATTTTGATACCTCATTTCACCTCGGGTCACTTTCTTTCTTTCTAGTTCTCTTTAACATACTTTATACAAAAAGTGAGGGGGGCTTGAGTCCCCTGAGCCCCGCTGTTCTGCGGACCCTGACATGTAGGCTTTTAAATAAGCATATTTTTTGCTTGACTGTGAATTTAGGATTTGTCATTTTCCAACATACGCTTAACAAATAATAATTTACTAAAAAGTGAGAAAAAACCCAGGAAAATCATGTCATTTCAGCAACATTTGTAAATTACTGGTATCGAATATGTAGACAAAACAGTTTGAATTCTGTTTGGGGGTCAACTGTCCCCCCCCCCCTAACCCTTCCCCATCAATACGCCAGAGAGTGTTGTATTGTCGGCGTATCTTAGGTTGGTGATCGTTCGTCCACCAACAGAAATTTGACCAGGGAGAGAAGTTGTTGAAACGTGTCTCTAGTGTTGCTAACCTCACTATCTTTTCATGACAACAAACGACAGTTGATCGACATCATAATTATATGCGCGAGTCTGCAGGATGATTGGGTGCTCAGAAATAGACAAAAGCACGAGCAGGCCTTTACCGTCAAGATGAGGTTCCTGTTCAAGTGATTCCAGACAGTGATGTCATGCCAAGGAAAGGTCTGTCCACAACATAGTTATGATGAAGCAGGCAACATCAAAGTACAGCAAGCGATTTGAATTGATGCTAATGAGAAGATGTATGTTAGGGTCTTAGTGGATGACACGGACGTCTACGTACTACTTTTGCATCATTATCTACATGACGGACTTATAAAACGCCAATGACCATGGAGACGCCCCTTCACAAATCGAACTGTTACTGATGTTCCTGCCAATGTAGACAAGTTAGGAGATATCATTCCATCGATGTTGGCAGGACATGCGTTGACGGGATGCGACACTCTTGGGGCATACTTTGGCATTGGATAGGGTACAATGCTGAAGTGATGAAGCAGAAGATTCGACTCCCTTAGGACTCAGTTGGCAATGTTGATGCAGCATGGTCATATGTCATCACTCAACCTACTCAATGCTTTGCTTCATGTTATGGACAGTCAACAATCAACTGAATGTCAGAGGCTCGTATCAACGTGTGGCTATCAAGGGTCCGAAGACTAGGAGCTCCAGATACCCCCAAACCTTGCCTCACTACCTCAAACTACTGAAGCGTTTGTAGAAAATGTTAAGAGAGCTCATTTGCAAACATGCGTGTGGAAGCACGCATAACAGTCACGACCTGACTGTGCAGAATTAAGTGTTAAATGACATCCTCTTCGGCATGGAATATTTTAGGGTTCCCAACACTTTAGAGGGTTTTTAAACAAATTTCAAGATTTTGAAGCAAACTTATAAACGGATATAGTCCTGTATCGTATTGGTAGTTTGTAATTTTTAGGTTAATTTAAAAGAATCTAGTACCTTAGAAAACAAATCTAGTTTCTTAACGCTGTCACTGAAAATGGGCATTTATCACCTTATGCCACCTCATATCTATGGGACAGAGAGCATAAAATTCAACCGTGTTTTCTTTGAGTATTAAATTACGAAATAAAAAAAATGTGCAGCATAATTTTTACTCACTGTATCCAGTGCATCTGACTCATGACATATGATAATCTCATGTTAGAAATTGGTATTTGGCCATCATTTAGAACTATGCAAGTTAATGTGTCTATAGAGGGCGCCATTCCGAATTATGCAAATTTGCATATCATTTGTGATCATACAGTATCGCAATTTTTATTTAGTGATGATTCTAGAAAAAAATCAAGATATGTCACTGCAATTTAATGTAGTAAAATGCTGTTAAAACTTTTTATATCATTAATTTTGGTTAAAAAGGGGATTTTGGCGGCCATTTTGTATGACGTCACATATTTCAAATTGCTCAATGCTGACAGAGTGTCAGCAATCGAATTCTTCAAATTGATGGTCTAAGGAACTATAATCCGAAGAAAAAAAAACTATAGACCCTAAAACAAGGTATATCGAGATGGCTGCCGGACTAATACAGCTCCATACGCAATCCAATAAAACCAGTCCAGGCGACAGGTATTAGACGCAAATAGCGGCATAAAATGGCCTCGGGCAAGGGATTGAACACTACGGTGTTGCGGTCACTATTGGCAAGAAATATCTTAGAAGAAAACACACAATATCATTAGGTGGGCCGATCTATAGTTTAAAGGGATAGCTGATTTGTGTTGCAGAGGGCGCTACAAAAAATAATATTGTTGTGAGATAATGGAAAACTAGTGTCAAATTTGAAAGAACATACAATTTAAATGACAAAATCATCTTTGTTTGATCGGTTCAGAGACGGCTGAAATATCCATAAATATAACAATTTTTCATATTTGTGTACCACCAAAAATATTAGATCATTTGAAAAAGATGTTGAAAAAACGAAATAGCGCCTTTTTCGTCGTATTTCAGCCAATGCTGAAGTTGGCTGGGTTTTGGGGGCATTTTCGTGTTGGTTATATTACGCACAACCAGCCGGTCCATGAATTGTTATTTTTAATTAAATAATTACTTAACGGTCACCATATTGTTTTGAAGGTGGAGCTGATTTGGTATGATCGCATTGGCTAAATTTCACACATTTTGAGGTCTAAAATTACCTTCAATAGCAATTTTAGGTTCTAAAAGGGCACTAGAAATGTCATAGATAAGAATAAGAGCAATAACCTTGCACTTTGAAGGCATTTGCGGTCTGAAAACAGAACTCGACTATCCCTTTAACCATGCCCAAGGGTGAACCACACCTCTATATATACCTCCTTAGGATTATGAATAATCATTTTAATATATCATAGATCTTATATTTCAACAGCATATTAAAAACGTCTGTAAATCTGCATATTTGGAATCTTTAAAGTTGGGAAAAATAGGAAACTACTTGACCGACCCACAACTGCAAAATTAACCCATGTCTTTGTATCCTCCCACCTTGGTCAGGCCTTTAAAACAATTATTATTAAAGATCGGCAATATTGGACAGTTATGAATAATGATTTATAATAATAATAAGATGAATTTTCACCCGCCTATACCCATTAGGAGGACAACGTCACCAAAATTACAATTTCACATAACACCAAATATACTGATGCAATATGATATACAAAATAAAAGAATAGATGTAACAGTTAAATGCTTAGAGGAATTTGAATAAATTGGTTTATAACATAGCTTTGAAGGTGTGTAGGGATTGAGCATTATTGGCTTCAAACTCTCCGGCAACAGGACTTTTTCCAATGAGTTCCATGAAAGATGAGTTATGATAATAATGTTCATATTATATTTATTCTTTGGAACCTACAAAACAAGCTATGCTTTCCAGTAGGTTCCTGTTTCATTTCATAATTTTGATCTTACTTTGTCAACTATATTCTTTATTGTGCAAACAATTGTTATATGAAATGAATAAATAAAATCAATCAATCAATCAATCAATCAAAAGAACGATAACCCCAGGTTAAAATAGAATAATTTCAGCTCAGTAAGCGCGAGCACTATACTATACGTTTCCACGTTATCGCGACGAAACTTGTATGTTATGTCACAACTTATTGATATTGTATGAAGTAGGGATACAGATTGATTGCTAGAAGCGGATAGTTTACACAATAGAAGGACGAAACCCAAAGTTAAATAGCCTAATTTCTGCTTTGTAAGCACGCTCCACTTTGAATCAACACTTATATAATTTATCGCGAAAAAATCATCATGATCCAGAACCTAAAGCTTAGTCAGGGTAGTTTCAAAACTGAAATAACTGTTATATAGAAACCCGCTTCTCCCATATCAAAAGACAGATGGATACGCACTTTGTCGGCGTTGGTGTTATCGGGGTCTTCCACTGTATCAAAGATCACATTGTCCGAACTGCAGGCAATCTTGAAGCTGGTTACCCATTGGGACTTTTCCGACCGACCTTGCGTTGCCACTCCAGTGATGCGGTACGGTGTTAACAGATGAACCTTATAAATTTAGTTCATAATGGTTATAATAATGATATTAGAATGATAACAATAATGTTGATAATTAAAACGTGGTATTCTCATATTTCAAGATGGACTAGTCCTTCTAAAAGTGAAGCTCTGTTCAGGCTTGTTCAGATATGATGCGTTAAACCGTCGCTTTAAACATGAATCTGAATGACAGCTACACGTGTCACGGCGAGATGTATCTGCGCGAAATCATGTCTATGAGACACATCTCTCCTGGCGATATGAGTCCAGCAGACAGCCGATATCCGGTGATTTGTATCCATAAACACAGACCGCCACCCGGACACCCTCGTGCCACACGCACAACTATAAGGTCGTACGCGTAAAAGGGAGTTTACAGATAGCACGTGGTACAAATGACCTCAAATATCCACAGATCTTTTACACAATGGAGAAGTTCCACTTTGAGCATCTTAGAATAATAACTGCCAAAGTCCTAGATGTGCTTCATGAATACCTTTTGTTTGACCTCTTGAAAAGAATACTTCCACCTGCGTATCATAGAATGTACCGTTGGTGCATAAATGAATAATGTTACATATCTTTCATGAGCGTATATCCAGTATTCATCTCTGTGGGTTTTACTTTTTTGGTACAAATGACCTTTATCTGCCCCTGCGCAGATTGTATCTGTAAACTCCCTTATTCACCAAACTCTGTGTTCTAGATACAGAAATGTGAAGCGCATCATACTTTACGTTATGATTTTTAAAAAACGCTGCGTTTTGACAGCGTCGTATTTGAACGAGGATCGATGCACTCAAGACTGAAAAAATGAGACCGTCATTTTAGAGATAATTCTAGAATGCTCGATGAATTTATCAATTTAAAAAATATCGAATTTTGTTTTAATTTTTGATTTGTTATCAGAGACGGAAAACATGTTCGACTTGTTTCGAAGAATTTTTGTTTATCGCCTCGGGCGTGTTAGACTTTTCCAAAGGTATCTTGCGCGGGTAATTCTTACTAATGCCCTCACTGCTGTGTATTATTTGTATTGTACGGAGGAAGCTTTCAAAAAAACATGAACGAAATTCAGGAATCGAGACTTACCTGAATCCACTGATGGATATCAGCTTTTTTTGCGACCCAGCCTCCACTCCGTTTATGCTCTGCAGCTATGCGTAGCCGCCCCCTCCAAGGGTTAAATATACTGTTTTTCTGACTAGAAGCTGTAAAACTCGAATCTGGTATCGCCCTACCTTCCAGTCCGATAGGAACCTGCTCGGCATCTGTTCCTAAAGAATAACAATTGTTTTGAAATAAATGAATTAATTCTTGTAGAACAAAACTTAATGTTGAGAGCCAAAAGGGTGCTAAATATCTGTTGAATTTTATGAGTTAACACTTTTCTGGTTCACAACAGAAGCCTCGTTTCTTTTCTGTAGCTGATCAGATGTTGCTCATTAAATATTCAAGTATCCGTCTAAAAATGGGAACATGGCAGAATCTGCATGGAAAAGTTAAGAAATTACCAACGCGTATAAAATCAATGATATTAACTTTTATAGTGTTTTAGAATTTTTGTTTTGAACCCTGTTGGAGTAAACTTTGAATTGCAACTTTTCACTTCCAAAATGCGATATTTGGACGTCAAAATTTAGGAATAGTAAGACAATTTCAATAAATTTAAACGACTATATAAGCAATTTATTTTTGAAAACAAATTATAATACTTAAAATGTAAATGTTAATGCAATGTTTTCTCCTTCTTTTCTCTTCTTTTTTCTCTTCCTTTAAAAGAAATGTTTTTAAATGTATCGTTAAGTCATGTTCATGTTATATATTTGTTGAGTATCATTTCTAGCAAGCCATTTATGTGTTTTCGTGGTCCTCCCGTTTCAGATATTGCATTATACATGTTTGTATTGAAGAATATAATATTTTATTTTTATATTGACGTGGAAAAAAATAAATGAAAAGATCCTCTCACGTTTTCCAGAAATCTGAATAACATATTCAGAAATATTAAACGCCATGTACACTGTTGGTCATAAAGGTGGAATAATTATTTTCTACCCCAATTTATGGAATGATTTTGACAATGATTTATTCCTAAGAGTTTTATATAGTTAATATTATAAATTCTCAGATTTCATTTAATATTACTTTGCGAGTGTTTATTTTACATGACTGCTAAAGCATGTGTGTGCTACTATGCTTATCAACTAGGGGACCTACGTCCTCAATTCATAACTGACAGTAATGAGGATTAATGCCTCGCAAAAGGGTACTAATATAGCACATCGACACGGTTTTTATCATGGGGCCTCACAGTTACGAGGCCATTGCATTGCCGCTGAATCTTGACTGTACGCAGCGTGGGTTAGGGTAGGGGGCAGCCCCCACTAATAAATAATAATTATAAAAATGCAATCAATTGTCAATAATTCATTGCATTTTTCCTTGGTCTCTAACAGGAAAAAATCCTCTGTGTGGCCATGCATTATGGTTCAAGGCATCATGGGGTAACAAAACATTATTCCACCTTTATGACCAACAGTGTAGTTGTTCAGTTATCTTTACTATGGGTGGCAGTGACGTGGGCAGGGGCACGAAAAGACACCCCCCCCCCCCCTACAGCAACTGTAGCCTTTTGATTCAACCATCGACCTCATAGTCATTGTTTTCTTTCTGTGAATTTTCGGTTACGTGTCCAAGCATTTTCGGCTTCGTGCCAATCGAGCCAGAGGAAATTGGCGTTTGAACCGACTACAGCATATTAAACAAGTGGTGATATATGAAAGAGTCTTAACGGTGTTCAATCTGAGAATGAAGGTTCAGTTTGGGTTTGAACTCACCTGTTACACTGCCTTCTTGATACAGCTCCATACGCAGTGCAATAAAAGTATGCCAGGTGACAGGTATTAGACGGACATACCGGCAAAAAATAACCGCGGGCAAGGCGTTGAACACTACGGTGTTGCCGTCACTGTTGGCAGGAAATATCTTCGAAGAAAACACTAAAATCATTAGGTATAGGCATATTTATAGTTGAGACACCCTTTTCTGTATCTGTTTACCTCTTTTTTATTGTAAATAATCATATTAATACATCATTAATGGGCAATATTGAACAGTTAAATAATGATAATAATACAACTAATAAAACGGGGAATTTGAACGCCCCTAAAACTATGTATCTAGGAGCGTGTTCACACCGCAAGGGGGGACCGTGGGCGGATCGTGGATCGCGCTATCGTGGCGCGACCCACGGTCCGCCCATTGGCATCGCCGGATCCACACCGCAGTGAGATAGCGCGGTCTATCGTAGCACCCCCTTTTTTGAGAGGTCCTGTTGGCATGACGCGTGACGTCATGAGGTCAGAGCGGTCAAAGATTTCGCGCGCTATTACGAGTTGGAGTGTTGAGTTGTACCGATTCAGACTCAGATCGCACTAAAATAGAATGAGCTAGACCGCGCTATCTCTGCCGGTGTGAACCCGAGCTACGATAGCATGCCGGAAGTCATCGTTCTACACGCGGGGAATTTTATACTCATTCTATTTTGGTGCGATCTGAATCTGAATCGGTACAACTCAACACTCCGGGTTCGTAATAGCGCGCGAAATCTTTGACCGCTCTGACCTCATGACGTCACGCGTCATGGCAACAGGGACCTCTCACAAAAGGGGGTGCTACGATAGACCGCGCTATCTCACTGCGGTGTGGATCCGGTGAAATGCAAATGGGGGTACCGTGGGTCGCGCTACGATAGCCCAGAGTCTCATGACTAAGTCCCATGGTGCTGTTGTCCTAGCAGCCTTTAGGTAAAGTATAAAACTTCTACTCATGTGAGAGCTACGATATAACAGCACTACAGTTAAATAATATGAATTACAAAATAGAAGCATGAATGTGTTTAAAGTCCTTAGGGAGTTGAATAAGTGTGTTTCAAACATGGGTTATGAAGGTGTGTAGCGATGGGCAATATATTGGCTTGAAACTCTCCGGCGGCAGGACTTTCTCCAATGAGTTCTATATGCAGGACTCCGTCGTTATTAATAGTGACTTAGCTTTAGTTTACTCACTAAAGGGGCGATGGAACGATTGGGCGCACCGGTCTTGCTATTATACCTAGGTCAGAAATACACCGGGCCCCACACGAAATTTCCTTATGCCTGGATTACATTTGCCCCGGGCACCGTACGATAAATTAGTCTACGATTTTTCGTAGACATCGTAGGAGGCTACGGGGTACGATGTTTGTGTTTACATTATATACGAGCATCGTGCTATATATTGTGTTGGCCCTCGGGGGCAGGCCAGGGCAAATCCGTACAGAGTCTGCTCGGAGATTGTATGGAAATCGTGCAATTTGAATGCAGTAGCCGTGCAGTCTCCGCAGCCTCCGCATGGAAATCGTACGGAACCCGTGCAGCTTCCGTGCAAAGATGACTGCTCAATATCACGGATACTACACGGGCAGCGAGCAGCAACCTTGCGATAGCTGTGCAATGGCCGTGCGAAGGACCCACGAGTCTACAATCTCTGTACGATTTTTTTGCCCCCATGTTCACCGAAAAATCGTACGTTTGCTGCACAATCAGTGCGAGGCCTCCGGGCGATGCCCGTGCGGGGATTGTGCAATGCCACCTACGACATCTATACGGGCTACGGGCTTACGATTTTTTCAAATTTGTTTAACTACTCGCGAAACAAAATCGTAAAGGCTGCGAAGCCCGTGAATCCGTACGTAAATCTCACGGTCGCCTCCAGCCTCCGCACAGAGGCCGCACGGAAAAGGGGATACGGACAGGATACTGGCTCCGTAGACCAATCGCAGGCCAAATGTAATCCAGGCATTACCCGGCGGCTTGCCGTGGATTTAAGAGAACGCACGGGACTTTTACGATTTTCATTTCTACGGCATGTATGGTCACTTATTCTGCGGCGCCCGGGAAGTGCCCGATGAAAATCGGTCGAGTAAAAATGCAAGGTGCCCGTAAGGCTGCCGGCCGGGTTCCGCCCAGGAAGCTTACGGGCTACGTCCGATGGACAAGTGCACCCCGTGGCTCCCGGCCGGGGTCGTCAAGGCGCCCGGCTAGGTGTCGTGCGGTGCACTGATCAAATATGTGTCCTTTGACATCCGCGACTCCGGTATTTAAAGTTGCGTTGTACATTGAGAATTGACAGCAAAAAAACGTAAGGGGCCCGTACGGAGCCTCACAGGCCCTTCATATTGCACCGTTTGTCTCATTTTTTCGCTCGCTGGAACATTGCCAGAACAAACCACTGACCTCTACCTCCTGGACGGATCATCGCCATTTCCATTCACTATACGTTACGTACTAAAGGCTGTAGTGTCTGACCGTTCATGAATATTCATGTTTTTGCTTACCTTGGCAAAATGTTTGCTTTTACTAAATGGAAAAATGACGGTGGGGGTGGATGAAATGGACATAATGAACCAAGCAGAAGGGATCTATGATAATTCATGCTTCTTATCCTTCGTGTGCTTGACCTATAATCTAAAATCGCTTGGCAAACTGGGTCCAAAGTTCGACTTGTTTAACATGTGTATTATAGGCCATGACAAGCTTGCAACCTATTTTGATCAAATTACGGTGGGTGAACTTTCAAAAGTCAATAGGACATGAGAGTTCCAATGAAAAAGCTAGTTATAACGTACGTCGGGGTGGATGTGCTTTTCGTTTAAACAAAAAATGAATTTTTAACGATTTTGGGGGGTAAAATTCCATAGGCTAACATGTTAGGCTGCTGACTCTGACGATAGGGGGCGTTGTGAAATGAGACTAAACGGAGCTATATGTACGGGCTTTCTACAGACTAACATTAAGATGAAAACGCCGGGAGAATTGGGAGCAGCCAACTTACCACCACGGGGCCCGTAAGGCTGGTGAAAAATGTCTTTGCGCCGGTAGGAACTGTACGGGAGCCGGCCTGACGCCGAAAATTCCCCGAATTGCTGTCATTTACTCGCCGTACGGGCTCCGGAGTGTATATGTGAAAGCCCCATGAGAGAATGAAATGCAAATTTGAAAGGCTACCGATTCGGGTAGGTTGCGGGAGGTGGTCCACACTTTTTTAAGCGCGTCAATTTGCCCTCTTTAAAAGTAACGATAGTAAGACGTTGCACAGTGGGCCAGGGAGGAACCAAAGTGTGCCAAAACTAATTTCTGGGGATTTATTTTCTATAAATCCATAGGAAATGTTTGGATGTCTAGGGATTTCCGCTTAAATGGTATTACCAACATTTTTTCTGATATCTAAGCTTTAAGTTGATACCAGATTTGGCTGCCCGATTGCGCCCGTTATTATGTTAGAGCCGTTTTCCTTGCAACATTGCCCCGAAAAATGTGTTTATTTTGGTCCGCGGTGTCAGAACAAGTGTCACGCGCCCCCAAGCGACGTGATTTATGACCGAGAATCCTTCATCATTCAGCCGCGGACTAAAAACAAACATATTTTTCGCGACAATGTGGCAAGGGGAATCGGCTCTAACATGACAACGGGCAAGATCGGGCAGCCAAATTTGGTATCAACTTAAAGGTACTATGTCCCTTTTGCAGCCAACCTCAAATGCTGTAGAACTTTGCAGGAATTATGAATATGTCATGTATGTCCTATCTGTGAAATTTAAACGTTAGCAGTGTCCTCATATTCAAATTATGCAAGGAAACCCATTTACTTGCTAGACTTCACTGTCAGACACTATTGAGTGACTGACTGGCTTTTTTCTTCTTTGGTAATAACATACATGAAAAGAGTTGTAAAGGGTACATGAGCATTTGTCTACATCAATAACCCACTTCTTGTGATGGCCAAGATTAAACTGATTGAATCTGTGCGCAGCATAAAACGTATGACCATTCTGTACAATTGTCTGAAAATCAAGACTATTACTTTTGGGCTCTATAGCCCTAAAGTCGATTTGACAACTAATAGTCGTTATTTTCCCACTTGAAGACGTTTTCAAGCCCCACCTTTTTTAGGGAAGTTCTAAATTAATATTATCTTTCAAATGCAGTTGGAATTTAACTTTTTAATTTTTTTGGCCTGCAAATGGGACATAGTACCTTTAAAGCTTAGACATCAGACAAAATGGTGGTATTTAAATATAAGCGGAACTCTGCGGAAATCTAATCGTTTCCTCTGGATTTATAAAAAACATGGATAATTAGTCCATTTTTCAGTGAATTAACCTTTAATATATAATGAAGATTGTGTTTCTATACATATTAACCAATTCATGAAACGAAATGAACTATCAGGAATATGTGAGAGCAATTTCATATCAATAACTTAAGAACTTCATGTTAAATTGAAAGATTTATAAAATAAGTCACTTTTGCACTAAAACTGTGAATGTGTAGGATTTTGCTGTTTGAAGGAGTAGATTTGTACCCCAGTTGTGCTTACCGGAATTAAATTTTTCACTGAGGTATTCCTCAATGTATTACAGTTCAACTGGTCAAGAAGAGAATTGAAAAGAAAAAAAAATCACCAAAAATGAGTTTTGGCGCACTTTGGTTCCTCCCTGGCCCACCGTGCGTTGCCATGGTTACGCGGACGAGCGTTGAATCGGCTGTGCGTAAACGAAAACAGTACAAATGTGTACCGATTATGCCTAATAATAATCGATGGACGTGGGGAGGAAAAGCGCCTGCACATGCAGTGTAGCAAATTCTAGCAAAAAGAAATACCATACATGGAAAGCTTAGGTTTGGGCGGACATTTTGAGATTAACATTATTGCGGGAATCGGCCGGAATCCTAATAAACATTCTACTTTTATATAAAAATTGCAATTTTTTCCTTTTTTGTGAAATTTAATGCTCATTTTTCCCAAAATGAAGCTTCAATAAATTTGGTCCTTGTATTTTCTAATTGGGTTACCAATAGGCAAGAAGTGCACGCAGTATCAAGTTGATTGCTTTTCCCTTCATAAATTCTCAACACCTATTGTAAAGTTGCCTCTTTTATCATTTTTGGAGCAACATATAGATTTTCCCATGTTCTCAGGGGAATATGACACTTTTAAAACTCGCTAAATATTTAAATATGGGTGGAAAAATATTCTTTAGAATGTTTTCTTCCCCAAGCGAATGAAAAAAATATAAAAATTCAGATTCGCCGATTTTGAATTTTGGCATACTTTGAGGCGATTCTGGCCCACTGTGCGTTGGTGGAAATCAATGGGATAGGCTTGATGAATCTGAAAGGAATGCTGTTCGAACAATCATTTGATTATAAGGGTCGGAAATGAGTTCAATATCAAAAGACAGGTTGATACGTACTTTGTCAGCTTCGGGGTCGACGGCGTCTTTCACTGTATCAAAGATATTGTTGTCCGTACTGCAGGCAATCTTGAAGCTGGTTACCCATCGTTCTTCACCCAAACGACCTTGCGTTGCCACTCCGGTAATGCGGTACGGAGTTAACAGATCAACCTTATAGGTTTTGATAATGATATAAAATAATACAAGTTTCGATAATGATAACATGGTATTCTCAAATTTCCAGCTGGCTTAGTCCTTCTAAATGTGTATCTCTGTTCAGGCTTGTTCGGACATGACGCGGTAACCCGCTGCCCCCCCCCAAAAAAAAAAATGTATATATATATATATATATATGAATGGACTATGAACTATGGCAACCACGATCCTCCTTGTATCCACCGAGCTCTGTGTTATAACATGAAATCATTTGAAGCGTACGTCATCTTTCATCAAAACCGCCGCCGTTTTGCAGCTCATATACCCGAATGACGCTTGATGATGACGGTGATCTTAACCTCAAATGTGTGTGAAATTACTAAGAATGAAGTATTTTCTTTTATGAGAGTTCATTGAATGTATGGAATTCATTCAATGAGTGAGTTCAAGTACGGTATTATTCGGTGCTGGTATTGAGAGCGTGGAAAGGCTGCTGAACCGAACCCCAACACCGTCAGTTTACCTATCACGTTATCAATAGCTCAACTCAACACTAGTCTCAACACCGAGTTACGTCCTCCTAAAATGAATAGATAAAATATAATTTCTCTTGAAAAAGATATAAAGCTCCAATGATTTACAGCTGTTTTTTACTATTACCTTAGCCTTTTGACAAGGCCTCGTGACTCTGGCTAAGCGGCTGAGATGAGTCTAGATACCCAGGGTGAACGCGCGACCGCCACGAGAGCCTTTTGCAATGTAGATATTACTGCTCCGCATGAATTATTCATAGCATTGGATTTATTGACCAATTAGAACGGATCCCCCAGTCTTAGCCCGAACGTCAGTGTGTGTGTGTGTGTGTGTGTGAACTATGAACGTCAGTAGTTAACTTAGTAGGTCCATGTTTGTACTATACGTACAGTTTACTCCGTGTGTGTGTGTGTGTGTGTGTGATGGATACTATATGCTGACGTAATGCGAGGATACGTTTGGTGATTGGACGCTACTTCTTCTTCTTCTGGGATACTCCTCAACGTTCTACTATTTCGGTAGAGTATTCCAGTCGGAAACAAAGGTTAACATAAGAAATCAAAACCAGATTACCAAAGGCTAACTGGCTGTGATTCTCGCTCTGTCGTTCACTTGGGCTTTCGCGATTAGTCTCTTTTTAGTCGCTCGGCGTCTATCAGACAGGTGGCCTTGTTCAAAGGCTACTATTACCTAGGCATGATCGTGAGATTCGTGCAAGATTTCCGCATAGGTACCTAATACTGCAACACCAACACTAACACCAAACTTAAAATCAATTTCCCAATCCCTAAGGGCTGGTGTTGGCAAAAGGGAAGATTACACGTAAATCGTCAACACCAACCGCAATACTCGGTTTAGAAGACGCTATTCAACACCAGCCCTCAACCCCCCCCCCCCCCCCCCCCACTCAGTGTTATTTAGGGTACGCATATGCTCGTTCCCTCTTTTTGAAAGCACCTCCTATCAGAGGACTGCCGACATTTCTGAACCCCCTTTTCGCGGGCTTTTCCTGCCTTGGAGACCCCCCTAAATCAGGAAAAATGCTCAATGTACCCCCCTAATTCAGAAAAACTTCTCAGGAGTCCAAAGAGATGGGAGAATAAAAAGGAAAAACACCCCCTTTTTAAAGAAATCTCCGGGTGAAAAGTCAAATACACCCCTTTTTTTTTACAATTTCCGGGCCGGACTTTGTCGCACGAAAAGTACCCCCCCCCCCCCCTCATTTCGACCCCTGAGTCGGGGGGGGGGGGCGGGCCCTCAACACAGACTACCGGAAATACGTCATATTTCCCGAGGTCGATCCCAACACCAGCCTGAAATCAAGTTCGGTGATGTAGCTGGTGTTGGTGTTTCACAACACCACCACCAGATTTCTACACCGAACTTAAAATCACACAATGGCACACAGATTGAATATCAAAAGTTCAATTTGCATGGCATATAATCATATTCAATGCAATACAAATTAAAGCCCAATGATCGAGCTATTTTATATCAATCTCAACATCCATGGACCAAAATCTGTAAATCACCTTCGATAATCAGGATTGGGTTGGGTGATTTGAATGAGTAGGGAAGCTGATCCTCGATCCTTGATTGGTTAAATTTGAAATTCTCTAATGAAAAAAAAATCTTTCATTATGTAAGTCTAGGTCGATCCTTTACGATTTGATTGTTATGACGTTTAATGTTTGTCATAGGCTCAGCCTATGATGTGCATTAAGAATAAATAAAAGAGACCGATGTTTTAGAGATCAAATTAGAATGTTCGGTATTACTATCAATCTTAAAGATCGATCGTTATGTACGACAAAAATCGATGATTGAGAAAGGGATTATTTTTTAACTTGTTTAGAAGTTATTTTGTCTATATTACGGAGGAAGTCTTCAGACAAACAAGAAAGAAATTCCGGAATCGAGACTTACCTGAATCCACTGTTTTTTATTAGCTTTTCTGGCGACCCAGCCTCCACCCTGTTTTTCTACTGCAGCCATGTGTAGCCGCCCCCTCTGAGGACCCTCTGTCACGTCCCACTGACTAGAAGCTGTAATACTCGAAGCTGCTATCGCCCCACTTTCTAGTCCGATGGGGACCTGCACGACATTTGTTCCTAAAGAATAACCGTTGTTTTGAATTAGATTTACTCATTCGTGTAGGACAACTCTTAATGTTGGGAGCAAGAAGGGTGTTAAAGTTCATGAGTTTACGCCCTTCTGGTTCAAAACAGAAGCCCTGTTTATGCTCTTGATGTTGCTCATTATTAAAATAGTCAAGTGTCTGAAAAGGAGAACATGGCAGAAACTGTATGATGAATCAAGGAAATTACCAACGCATATCGCAATGATATCAATATTTTTCGTTTTAAACACTTTTGAAGTAAAACTTTGAGATGCAATGTTTAACTTAAAAAACGCGTCATTAGTGCACGCAAAAACTAAATGTTGTAATATTTTATCAATATTCGATTTCAAACACATATCTTGTGAAAATCCTTGAAGAAATGACACCCTCTTTCACAGTATAATACAATTTAAGTGACATTTTGCCATCACATTTAGGGGCTCTACACACTTTAAGGTTTTTAAGGTTATCGTGCATCTACCGCACAGACGTTTTTGTAGTAACCGCATTCTTTTAAAATTAAGAAATACTTTTTTTTCGCGTCACCCCAATTCCAAATTTACTTACAGGAGATTCATTTTGCATCAAAAATGTGTATATACGTGCACCTCACTGCCAAATACACGAATACAAAATCATGATGTGTGGTCACCTCGATGCACAAATGTGAGGATATTCGGGCATCTCATTGTTCAGAATTATCCTGTTTCTGAATGTTGCAAGCAAGTGAAGCAAACAAGCACGATAAAAATGTAACGTCCATAGAAAATATACTAGTAATAGAAATTTGGGCACCTGCAAGGCCAATAGAAGGCTATTCGCGAAACTCGTTGCTGAAATATGTAGGTATTCAGGCATTTCGCTGCCTAAAATCAACATCTTTCTTAATGTTGAGCGTGAGCTAAGCGAGCGAGGGAGAAGAACACTTTACTATCTTTAAAATTCTATTTCCTCATGAAACAGGATGTACTCTAGCAGTATATAATATTTGGTTTTCACGAGATCGACTTTATTCCAAAATAATAAAATTAACAAAAAATATTTTAAAAATCTGGATTTACCGTTTCTAAGCGCTTTACAGATATTATTATTTATATCACTAAAATACTCTCGCGCCATCCCGATTAAAACACCGCTTACTTAATATTCTGGAAGCGAGATGCTCTGTTTTTATTTCAATGTTGGTGTTCTGGCAAAAGACGTTATTCCATCACGTTATTGACGAAATTGGGTCCTTCCGCGCATGGGACCAATTCAATTTAATTCAATTCAATTCAAATTCAATATAAATGAAGATTTATTTTCTTCCATTCAATTTTACAACATATTTTATGTTCAAACAATTCAAGTCATACGTAGGAACATAAATACTAATTAAAGAACTTGTATTACAAGGAAGAAGGCGCGAATCCCGATAAGCAAACATAATATACATTATAAATAGAAGAAAGGAAGAAAGAAAGAAAGGGATAGGCAAGGAGAAGAGGATAGAGAGCTTGGAGAAAGAGAAAAGAAGAGGACTGCAACATAATAGCAATGGAGTGTATGTCATGCATAAACAAAATTATGGCAAGATATAGGTGAAGGGTATAATGTGGAAATATATATGCACATATATATACCTACACATATATAGATTTCGTTACAAGTACATACTTTTATACAATATATACATATATATATATATATATATACATATATAATCAGGCGCGGATCCAGCCGGCGGCAGGGAAGGGGGCCAAAGAGGGGGCCCAGCCAGTGAATAAGCGAGAGGGGGGGGGGTGGGGTGGGGGTAGTGAGCACTAATTTTGTTTCCCTCGAAAATCTAAAAATCGCACCCCCTCCCCCTGTTACACCCACAAATGTAATAACGCCTACAAATGTAATAACGCCTACAAATGTAATAACGCCCACAAATGTAATAACACCCACAAATGTAATAACACTTTACCCACAAATGTAATAATTTTGAATCACCCACAAATGTAATAACGACTTTACCCACAAATGTAATAAATTTGAAGTGATATTTTGTCGAATTTGTTCAAAACTAAAACCCTGTAATAAATCATGGGTAAAGTGCGCAGTCTCTACTCCAGACCCGGTTATTTCAAAAAATTAAAAAATCTTCAAAACTAAGACCCCACAATCCTTTTCCAGTGACATAACATGAGAATCGAGCATAGTCTTTCCTCCAGACACGGTTATTCAAAAGTGTTTTTTTTTATTTAAAAAAAACTAAACAAAACAAAGAAAAAAACCTTTTAAACAAAGACCCCACCATCTTCCAAATTAAGACCCGGTAATAAAGCATGGGATAAGAGCGTAGTCTTTACTTCAGGCTCGGTTATGTAAAAAAAAAAAAAAAATCTTCAAACTAAGACCTCACCATCTCATTCCTGTGGAATAACATGGGTACAGAGCGTAGTCTTTCCTCCAGACCCGGTTATTCCAAAAGAAATAGAAATTTAAACAAATCTTCGAAACTAAGACCCACCATTTTATTCCTCTTTTTTTTTTCATTTAAAAATAAATTACATTATTACATATGTGGATACAACACGTCACAAATAAATGATTGGTCGGCGGTCACACGAACTGACGAATCAGTCAAAATGGTCCATATATATAACACAAAGAGGAGGGACCGATTCGATGGTTCGTTGACCGTCGACGATTATTTTAATAATGTAAATATTCTAACGCCCACAAATATCCTGGAATTCAATGTTCGTAGAAAAAAAAGGAATCGAATAAGTGACCTTAAATGTATTTAAATATTGACGCTGATTGCTTTATGCATGTGATTATGAAATATGTTCACGATATGTAACACAATATATATATATATACGCTATTAGTGACATTGAAACGTTGGATTGCGATGTTATATTTTCATGAGTGCCCCTTTTATTTTGACACGTCCCTATTTTCGTTCGTAATAAATGCTCTTTTTCCTATTTATAAGTGCCCTTTCCCCTTCTCATAATTACCCCTTTTCATCTTTGATAATTGCCCCTTTTCACCTCTGATAATTACCCTTTAAACAAATATATGTGCCCCTTTTTCCTGTCTAATAAGGAACTTATCCCTTTTTCATAAATACCCCTTTTCATTTCTTATAAATGCCCGTATCAAAATTTGATGGGTGCCTCTTTTCCGTCGACAAATCCCCATTTCCCATTCTCATAAAATCCCTTTTCATCCCTGGTGCGTGCCTCTTTTTTTAGGTGTAAGAAGTACCCCATTTCTACCTCTCATAATTAGCCTTTGTACTTTGACTAGAGCTCCTTTTCTTTTCTAATAAGTGTCTTAACCATTTCGTAAGTGTCCCCTTTTCCTCTCATCATTAAACGTGCCTGTTTCGATGATCGAAACTTATTTCTTGTGGATTTGCTGATATTTACTTTTTTTCTTGTTTATTGAAAGATACCATAGGTTTTTCGGTTTACGGCCGTTTATAGGTGGATAATTTTAGCTTCGAAACGTGTCAGAAAACCCGAGGCCACAAGTTTCGACCGAAGGCTTGAAATTTCAACCGTATGTGCAGATTTCGTCAAGCTAGAAGTTTGGCCGACTCTCATTATGTTTAAGAAAGTTTATAGTTCCTGCCAAAGAAGTAAGTGTGCTTTAATATTAGGTTTAATGACTTTATGAACAAATTACTAAAATGAAAATGTGAAACGAAAAATGAATTCTCGTGGTTTATGTTCATTTGCATTTTAATTTGCATATTTCCTGTCGCTGTAGTAAGATATAAGAATGCGACAAGTTTCGTGGGAAAAATGAGATATGAAAACAAAATATAATCCTTATAATGGAAAAGGGTATGAAAGGAAATAACTATCGAGATAAGGTCAAGCTGTTTTCATTAATAATTCTTCAAGAATTTAATGTTACTTCCCTGTGTTTAAAAGGAAGTGCAATTTACATAGGTTTTGAGCATGAAACCAAAACTGAAGTTAGCACATCAATTTTTTGCATTGTTTACATCAATGAGTGTTTTTGTCAGGGGCTTATGTTTATGAAAGCTTATAAATCTGTACAACAATTATTAATGGAGAAATCAAGAAGGCATGAGTGTCTGAAATGAATCAAACTGGGCTAGGTTATTTTAACTTGGTTAGAGAAAAGTTATGCAAGAGTTGTGATGTGCATAATTACTTGTTACTTGTAGAGATAATCCCGATGGCAGCTATCATACAGCTAAACTGGGATGTCCGTGCAACGTGCTGGCATAGTGACAGTGCATGAAGTAATTCAAAACAGTGAATGATGTCTATTATTTACAATAAACAGTGGACGTGCAAGTAAAAACCGAGACGTGGAGTCTACAGTAGCTTGGACCCAACAGGAGGAGGCAACGCTCTGATGATAGGTAGAGCAGCCTCCTGGAAGATGGTCACTGTTGGAGATGTTACTGCAGCAGCTGATAGATGGTTCCACGTCCAGATGGTGCGAGGATAGAAGGAGTACTTAAAGCTATCAATGGAAGCTGGGGGTACTGCATACTTCAGAGGGTGATCATTTCTGCCCAGATATGTATTAGATATATATGTATCCCATCCCAGTTTGTTGACAAGTGCTGTAACTGATGTTATTCTCCGGTAGTCTTGGTATACAAAACGGGCGGCAGCTCGCTGTACATTCTCAAGACTTTGTATTGATGTCAGAGTCCGAGGGTTCCAAGCTTCACTGCCATACTCAAGTTGAGGACGAACAAGCATTGTGTAGGCTTTGGATTTGATGTTCTTGGTGCATGGTGATAGAGTTCTGCGTAGGAGGCCAAGGGTTCTATTGCCTTTCTGGGTGGCGAGTTTACATTGGGTGTTCCATTTAAGGTCATGGGTAATCGTGACACCAAGATACTTGTATTGTTTCACTCGAGGAATTGACTCATTTAGTAGGGTGTAGTCCACTGTGACGGGGTGCTTCTTGTTTGTGATTGACAATGTAGCACACTTCTTGATGTTGAATCCCATCAGCCATTTAGTGGACCAGTCTGCAAGAACATGGAGATCTTCTTGCAGTATATGAGTGTCAGAGGGAGAGTCGATACGCCGATAGATGACACTGTCATCTGCAAATAGACGCATTGTGGACTTGATGTTGAGTTTGATGTCATTGATGTAATAACATTGCAAGTTGAATTTTGCTCAAGTTGAACTTGATATACATGGCTTGAGATTTATTTTCCAATACAAAAGGATTACTGGAGTAGTTTACACTTTAATATTTGCAAGGTAATTATTGCAGATATTTCATGAAGATAATTATGATTTAGACTACATGTATCTGATGACTAGTGGTCATGATGCAAGATAGGATACAACAGTTATTATTCAATAATGACACAGAGAGACATGTTTTGATGGTTCAGTCAAGTTTATTATTTATATAAGAAGTACAATTCAGAGCTTCATAGTCTACACAAATATTACTGAAGGTACATGTCTAATTTCCGGTTCAATTTGTTTGTTCTTTTTATGCAGATTGAATTATATATTCTTCAATATCTCTTGAACTGCGTTGTTCGACGACATTTGACTCACATCGTTGGTCATTTGATTAAAGTACAAATCAACGCCATAATACAATTTCGTGCAGAGAGTCGTCTTTTTGTCCTCAGCTAACCAGTGCCCCTTATTTCAAGTGACTAAGAGCAATTTCTCCCAAAGCTCGCTCGCTGCGCTCGGTTGTGGTTAAAGATGTTATAATTATGTAACTTATCAAAGGCCCTTTCAGCTTCCGTTATGAGAATGTGCTGATATCCCCATCAGAGTTGTTTTTTCCTCTTTATAAGATGTAATTTTTCGCACTGCGATCTCACAAATCTTACATTTTTTTCAGACCATCATACCCAACTGCAAAGCAGGATGCTTAAGCAATATCTTATATGATGTATAAAGAGAATCAAATATTGAAATCATTCCTCATAATGTAATCACATTATCGGGGTATATAGCGATGTCTAAACAAATTGTATATTTTCGCTTTGAGATTTTCCTTTGAAGGTGCCCTTTTTTGTTGGTGCCCTCCCACTTTGGAAGTCGCTCCGGCGCCTCTGATTCAGATAATCTAGTACCGTACATATGTATATTTGAAACACGTTGGAATTGGCCGCAAAACTGCGAAGGTTCATGTGACTTTAGACATAATATAATAATGAACATTGTTGATGTTTATTCATATCTTCAATACGAAACAACTTAAAGGGATACCTGAGTACTGCTTTCAGACCGCAAATGCCTTCAAAGTGCATGCGTATTGCTCATATTCTTATCTGTGACATTTATAGCGCCTTTTTGGGACCTAAAATTAATATGAAGGTAACTTAAGACCCCGAAATGTGTAAAAATGTAGCCAATACGATCATACCAATTCAGTTCCACTTTTAAAAAAATTCGGTGACCGTTAATTAATTAATTAATAATAACAATGATGGGCCGGCTGGTTGTGTGTAATATAAACAACACAAAGCCAACAAAAAATCCAACATCGGCATTGGCTGAATTACAAGGTAAAAGGCGCTATTTCGGTTTTTCAACGGCTTTTTCAAATTATTGAATATTTGTGGTGGTACACAAATATTGATTTTGATCGATTTTGATCAAATTTGACACTCAGTTTTTCATTATCTCACAACAAAATTTTTAGCGCCCTCTGCAACACAACTTAACTATCCCTTTAAGCGATGTTAACCAGGAACCGCTGCTGGATCATGAGTGCCTAGTGTCAGAGAAACTGATATGGTACGTAAAACCTTATTTTGCAGTGCACAAAGCTTTTTTTAAGGCTTGTTCGAAATGTGTTTGCCCATATAATATCACAATAGGATAGGGATGGGAGAATCAAAGAACAATATAAAATACGTAATATTTTTTTAGGTAAAAACATACTTAGGCGGTATATAACACCTGTGTTTTTAGATTTTTGTGCATTTATATGATTTTTCCTTGTTAATTTACTGTCTATGAAAATACCAGGAAACTGAGTGGAATCCACTCTGGGAAGAACGTTATTATTTTAATTTGATGTGTACAGATGTTTGATGTGTACAGACAGGCGCGTACGCAGGGGGGTGTTTAGGGGGTTAACCCCCCCCCCCCCCCTTTTGTATTTTTATGTGTATAAACCCCCCATGAAAAAACCCAAACCCCCCTTGGGTTTTTTTTTTTTTTTTTTTTTTTGAATTAAAAAAAAAAAAAAAAAATATTCCCATGGCTGACCTAAAAAAGCTGACCTTACCCCCCCCCCCCCCCCCAACGAAGCAACTTGTCAAATTTTCAAATTTCGAGACCAAAAAAAAAGAAAAAAAGTGTCCTCTAACCATAAGGTTTATTATCAAACATTAAATTATCTTAATATTTACTGGTAGTTACTACACTAAAGTGACTTGGGACTTGGGACTTGGGTGAACAATACTGTTATACTGTAGGTGTGTTGTATAAGGCACCATCCATAATTACTAGCAAATTTATCGAGGCGCTCGATGACCTTGTTCCACTCTATCGATGAAAAATAGAGCCATAATCTTAATGGGTGATATCAATATAGATATTAAAAACATTTCTCAAATAACCAAGCAAAAAAAAAGTAAATAGTTTATGTAGTAACCCTACTTTTTACTTACCACATTGCCCTCCAGTCCAACAGAGTGATAAAAGGACCAAAAGCAAAGTAATTGGGTCATGATCCATTGCTGAGGCGCCAAGAAAATCACTCGAAAATATAAAATAGTACACACTTAAATGAAGTAAAGAGGCGTATAGACTACACTGTCTGTCCTACAAGTGTTTTGATCATCCATCTGAGGAGCTTTTATAATTCATTCAAGCTACCTGAAGTTGATATTATATCTATAAAAACCAAGGTGCAATACGATCTAAACGGTCTAAACAATGTTATATTACACCCCCTGCCAGTCAATATCTGTATACTATTTAATACTAGTATATATCAGTTTGCTTTAATTAATTAATAAAATTTAATGATTTTCTATTCCACGTAAAACATGTAATAGGCGTAATAAAAATAAACATAGAAGGGCATCACTATCTAAGACGGAGTGAGAGAGAGAGAGAGAGAGCGAAAGAGAGAAAGAGAGAAAGAGAGAGAGAGATAAACCAACCACCAACATCACCACTAAGATCAACATATACAAATGTTAAGCTGAATTCTCAGAATAAGTTATCATTTCATGAAGAATAAAAAGCATCTTTCGTGTTCTTTTATAAGTACCGTTTTCAGTCGGCGTTTATTTCTTCCTGGTCATTTTGTGTCCAAAAAATGTAATTGATGGCGCGTCATGTCACCAAACTTTGTTAGATTAGTTAATAAAAATCATTGTTTTCGGCCCTAATTTCTGCTGGTTACTTTGCTTCCATAAATATTTTTGATACTGTGGCATTGAGCAACTTAAACTCGTTTGCATACACATAATGCATGATGGTTATCGTGTGTTAACATGAACCTTGTAACAAATAATTTGCATTCATTTGTTCTGTTTTATTTTAAGCACTTTCAGAGTATTTTGGTTATTACGTTTAATATGTGTATTGTAAACGCCTTGTCCTCCATCTATGTGGATATGTAGCGCATCATATATGTCTATATTTCCATTGTTATTGTTTTTATTGTTATTATCATCATAACTATCATTATTCTTTTTCTATTATTACTATTATTATTATTATTATCATCGTTATCAACATCATTAATATCATACAAGCGACGTATCAAAATATATTTTTTTTAACAAACATGACATTTAGAGTCGTTCACTCGTTTGGACAATTACATACATCACTTATATTGTATCAATCCACCGATCAGTTGTTAACAATATAGCTCAACACAACTTTCATTTTCGGATTCACAATTATTTTATACTTTCAAATACAGATATCTATATTTTTACTAATTCAATTAAGACTGAGACGAGAAAGCAATCCACGTTGAACAAAGGGAGACGATTAAAGAACTCGGTCATCATGTCGATCTGCATTCTTTTGATAAACTCGCCTTCAGCTACTTTACACCGAGAGTTGCAACAAACAGAGTTGACAAAAGACTTAACTCCGTTTCGTTGACAATCAGCCATGCATGAAGTCTTATGTCTTGTTGCTACGGCAGGCACCCAGTGAAAACGAATTCGTTTGATAAATTTATAGAAATGCAAGCACTACTTTAAACAAAGAGAACTTTGTTATTCCTTGCTCATTTTTCCTGAATGAGGTGTCATATGAAAGGGCAGAAACTCAACTTTCTAGAAATGTGATTTTTTCTTTGAAATTCAGATACCGTCCGCCAAATGACTTTTTGGTTTCCTCTCTTCAAATTCATTTTAATCACTCATGCGTGGAATGTGTATTATATGAGTTGCATCAAATGAAAGAGGAGGATCTAAGCTTTCTAAATATGTATCATTTATCAATTATAAATGTGATTAAGTTATGATAGAACATCGATACTTCTCGGTTTCGTTTTTTTCTGGGACGCACTGTTTACTTTTTTATATGCTTATATTTGTATTTATACTTACACTTCTTCATTTTTTCTTAAGCATTAATTTCTATGAATTTTCATTTACATGTAAGAAAATATTCAACTAAATTATTCAAATTTATGGATGCTTCCTAGCTGCCCAGGTGTTTGTGTTGCTGTTGAAGCATTTTATTCACCTGCTATCATTCTTTGTACTCCAATTGCCAGAACGCAATTTTCATTTTGGTTTTATAGTTTCATCGGAGTCGTTTATCAACTATATGTATTCAAATTTATAAATGCTTCCTCCCCAGGTGTTTGTGATGTTTAATGCATTTCATTCACCTGTTATTATTCTTTGTACTCCCATTGTTAGAATACAAAATGCATTTTGGTTTTATAGTTTCATGCAATAAGTAAGTCAAAAAAAGAGTACGTTCTGCACGATAAAAACAATGTGTATCCCCAGGGGTGTACGGAGGGGGAGGGGGGGGGGTTGGGGGTTCAAACCCCCCTTTGGTATTTGTATGTATGTAAACCCCCCTAAAAAAACCTAAAACCCACCCCCCTTTGTTTTTGTTTTTTTTATTATTAAAAAAAAAAAAAAAAAAAGTATACCCACGGCTAACCTAAATAAGGTGACCTTACCCCCCACCCCCCTCAACGAAGAAAAATGTCAAATTTTGAAATTTCGAGACCAAAAAAAAAAAAAAAGTGTCCGCTTACCCCCCCCCCCCCCCCCCCCCCCCGATTTTCAAATTTTCGGGAGCAAAATATTTTAACCCCCCCCCCCCCCCTTTAAAAAATCCTGCGTACGCCCCTGTGTATCCCTATTGTACAATGTGATGTGTCCCCTCATTTTGTAATAGTTAATTCACCCATTCACATAATGGAACTCCCTGCGCGATGAAGCCAGTGGCCTGTGACCCCTGAGCACTCAACACCGTGTGGGAGTCAGTTTGTGGTCAAATTCTTTTATGAGACAAATACAAGGAAACGTTTCCATATGATGCTTCTTAAATTAGTTTTTCTTTTTTGCAATATCTTCTTCAGTGGATCTATAAGACAAAATATAATTATTAAATTGTTTCAAACTAGGCATACTCTCTTGATATTTACAACATCAAATGAACTGTTTACCAAGTAAAGTAAGAAAATCAAAAGCTGAGGTGGCTTGCCTTTTTCGTTTAGTAATTCCAAATAAACTGATTTTGCCTGTAAGAAACTGAACGGGATTAAAATCCTTCACTCTTTTGCGTAGCCTATTCCAAAAGGCTGCAATATAAGGACATGTGAAAATAAATGATCCATTGTCTCGGGTGTCGCATTGCAAAAAGAGCGCAGTGAGCTATTTTTCCTTCCTATACGTGCCTGCCATTCATTAGTTGGTATTGGTTATTTATTAGTTGGTATTAGGTTATTCAAAATTTTAAAGCGCGTAATTCGGAGTCTGGAGTTAATTGTAACATTTGCTGAAAGAGTGAAAAGATTTGACACTTGTTGCTCATTTCTGGTTATTAAGTCTTAGAAAAGTTAGATAAAGTTGCTTCGTCATTATGTTATGGATTTGTTTGAATTCGGAATCACAGATAGCAGTAAAAAAAATATCTTAAATCTTTAACGAGATGGTGATAGTTTTGCTGCAAAAAGAAATGCTTCCATGCTCCTGTTTAAAAAAAAAAACAATCTAACGATACAAAATACTCAGTGAGTTGTAGTCCCTATTCTTTAAAGTCTTTTCATCGCAGTGGACGTCCAAATTCATATCTGCAACTTTTACAAAACCTTTTTCGTTTATTTCTGGTTTAAATATAGATTTTCCGTTTAATATGATAGTTTTGTTATTCCAAATACATTAGTTAGCCTTATCGGTTTTTTATTCAAAAAATGTCCCTGAACCATTTTGACACTTCATTGTTTAAATATTTCATATCAAAATTACAATAAAAAATATATTTTTCGCCAACGGGTGACAATAGTTCTAAGCATATGTTTTTCCAACCTATAGAATTTGACGTGAATAGTCTTGTAGCCCATTCAATTTTCTGAGCTTGAAGAGTCGATTTTAATACAAGTCATCTTTAAACCTCCCTCATTGTACTCCTTTACCAAGACTTCACGTTTTATTCTATCTGGGCCCCCCATACGAATTTGTATAGTACCGTGTAAACCTTATGAATAAATGCCTCGGGAAATGGACACAATGCTGGCTACATACAACAGCTGGGAAATAGCAACAATGTTAATTATTTGAATTTTTCCATATAGTGACAGATTCCTGGCTTTTCATAAGTTTAGTTAAGATTTGATAACATTTTTTGGAGTTGTGCAATTCTATTTTCAAAAGAGTAGGAGATATCATTTCCGAGAATTGTCAAAACATTATCAAACTTTATATTTATTTGAATTGCTGAGTTTTGTACGTTAAAGTGTCCTATAAACATTTTCTTCGTCTTTTCGTAATTTAGTGAAGATGACGAACAAATTTGAAAATCATAAAGCATAGCCGTTAAATAAGAATATGATTCGAAATTGAATAAAAACCTGCTAGGTCGTCTGCGTACATAGATAATTTAATTTCGTCAATATTGTTTAACCTGATGCCCTGGATATTTTGGTTTCTCCTACATTTATTGCCAGAGTTTATATAGCTAAAATAAAGAGGTACGGAGAAAGGGGGTCCCCTTTTCTTACTCTTTTTCCTACTGGATAAAATCCAGTTGAAATGCTATCGTTCATTAATCATTACGCAGCTTTCCATGTCTTTGCAAAGAACATTTACAAAATTGCAACAATTATTTCCGAAATTGAAATATTTCAACACTTCTATTAGAAATTGATGATTTAGAGTTTACATTAAGACACATGTTTTGTAGTAAACTTTGCCCCATTTGTTACTTACCACAATGCCCTCCAGTCCAACAGATTGATAGAAGGGCCAGAAGCAAAATAGTTGTGTCTTGTTCCATTGCTGAGGGCTGATGCCGCCAATAAAAACGCTCGAAATTATCAAATAGTAAACACCGTAAAACAAGCAGTGAGGCATATAGACTAGGCTGTCTTAGAAATGATCTGACCATCCATCTGAGGAGCTTCAATAATTCATTAACAGTAAATGTAAATTATATTATATAACGGATATAAAGATACCAATCATCTGATTGGTTACAGCTACAGGTATGAAATTCACTATTATATAAAGGTGGGTTCTAGAATCGAAGAAATCCGATTGGTCAATTGACATCAAGTGGGCGTGCATTTATTTTTTCCCACCGTGCAAAACATCTCCCATCAAAAAATGATATCGCTTTTGCGTAATTCAATCTCAATATGCGGGCGACAGCTGTACTAATGCAAGGACGCAAAGTTAACAACGAAAGCGCGCTTTTCATCAATGGACATTTCAAAATACATT